TTTAAGTGCTGTTTATCTGATGGGGGCAGTTTTGGAGTCTACCAGGTCTTCCAGGTGGTTGTGAGGAGTCCCATTTTCTATGTAGCTTTTAATCAGTTTCTGAACTTCAGTTTTGGAAACTCTTGTTTTTTCATTTTGATTTTATGCAAGTGGATTATCTAATATCTGATCTCCTCACAAACTTCTCCTCTAGCCTTTTTAGATGCAGAGAGAAAAGCACGAGGCAGTTAAGGTGAGTTTGGGTAGGTGTTTGTGTGAATGTTAGTGTATGTTTGAAGGAGAACAGAATGTCTGTGGTTGGTTTTAAGATTGGAAAGACTGGAAAGTTAAAGTGGCAGTATGTGCATGAAAGTAAAGAGGAGATATTAAACACTGATAGATATAATATCATAGTTAGAATTGGAAGCACTTGCTTAGCATTCTATTAAAGGGCTCATATCATGGAAGACAAGCAGTTTAGCTTCACCCATTCAGCCTACAGTAGTTTAGCCCCACCCATTCAGCATACAGCACAGCATTTAGCCCCACCCATTAACACTTATAACACTGAATTTATAAAGATTGTTTCGGACTGTTTTTTGAATGTGGCACAATACAGGGCAGCCAATCAGAACAGAGCTCATTTACATACAGTCTTAGGCAAAGGTTTGTGCAAATTCCATGTTTTGTTGAGAAAATAAGGCTATGTTCACATTACCAGGTTGAAGTGGCACAAATCCGATTTTTTGCCCTAATATGACTCAGATCTGATGTTTTCAGGGCTGTGTGGACACGCAAATCTGATCTTTTCAAATCAGACCTGAGCCACTTTCATACGTGGTCCTAGATCAGACACGTATCCCATTCATGGCCATGCAACCTTAATGTGAACGCTCAGATCGGAATTCATGTGCTTTTTTTTCCACTGCCTGTGCGCCATCATTCAGCGTTACAATGGCAACAGCGCCAAACAAAAGTTAAAGCCTGTAAACGGTGGAAAAACAACACTCACCTTTTTCACCTTCGTCTCGCTCTAATAATGAACAGCTGAGAGCTGTTCAGAGTTAATTACCTTCGCAGCGAAGGCTCGTTCTGACCGTTAGTTTGTTTGCTGATGATGCACGTAACGCACATGATTCATTCACGTGACGTTACTGAGTAGGACGTGTGCATGCGGGTCATTTCAGGACGCCGGTTCGTTCACATTAATGACAGATTTGAATCACTTACCTAAACGAGTGTGAACCATCATGTCAGAGGGATCGGATTTGAGCAAAAAATCGGATTTGAGCAATGAGGCTTGTAATGTGAACGTAGCTTAAGTTACACATCCTCTATGGAGAACAAATTTTTATGCACAATTACTGTTTATTTACTGAAATTTAACACATTGGAACATAAATATGGCCTGTGAGAAAGTTATGGCACATTTTACGTTTCATGTTTAATGTTTTCAGCAAATATAAACTATGCACTAAAATGTACAGAAAAGTGCCATAATTAAGTTTTGTCTCTTCCATTGTGTGTTTTGCATGTAAATCTTTGCCACTTTTGCATATGACTGTATGAAGTGAGATATATTGTTTTAATATTTCTGGACACAAAATATAAGTGGACTCCTAAAAAGATGTTTTTTCAAGGGTTCTTTAGTACAGGCAGTAGTTCTATTTAGAGCCATGAGTTCTGTTTAGACAATTGTGTTATATATGGTTCTATAAATTCTGCTATTGACACAAGCTTGACATTGTCACAATAGAAGAACCCTTTGTGGGGCTATATAGAATCATATACAACACATTCTCCACGATGAGAACCATTTCACTATGCAGAGAACCTTTTAAGCACAAAATTGTATGTACAGAACTTTTTGAAATAGAACCATTCCCTTTTACTAAAGAACCCCTGACGAACTTTTTTAAGGGTGTAGGATATTGGCTGTTTATTTATAAAGGTATAATGAAATATGAATAACCTGTTTTGATTGGAATTTGAATAAACGAAGGGTGGTACAGCGCTGCATTATTTTATCACATTTTCGGTTCCTTTTAATCCAGCCAGTGTGCAGTAACACAGCTCTAATCTGTGTTATAACAATGATAAATAACAGCATATTTTTTGATGTGAACACATTTTTGAGAGTGTACAGTGTTTTAAATGTAAAATGTAAAATCGTCGATGTTACGCTACATGTTCTGAAGCGAGTACATTTTGTTTGGATAAACAAAAATGATATATTTTGTATGTTTGAGGTAATAAAACGTTTACTTGTTTTCCACGTTATCTGACGGCTAAATAAAAAATCCTGATCTATTCAGATTACCATGGCTGTCTGTTGTCTTTTTGTTGTCTTATCGATGCTGTGAGGCCTCGTTAAGGCCTCGTTAAGCCCCAGACGTCCGTAATTACTCCATTAAGACGACGCGTCTGCTGAGCCAGACTTCACTAGCACATAAACTTGTTTTTTTTTCCTCTCTTCTGGTCGGAGGCTTCAATAAAGTCGTGTCTGCTTGGCAGGAAATCAGAAAGCGCTCCTCGCCACAAACGCGGCTCGCTCTCCTGTTCGCTTTTACGCAATTAGGTACGTTTATAAGACACATATTTGAAGAGGAGCATCAAGCTGGCGCTTCGAGCTCGGCCTGCTCAGCCACTATGGAGAAAAAAAAAGAGAAATTACAGCATATCAGTCTGCATATCGGAAGGTTTGAGCTCATTCTCTCGATTTGTTCATGTCTTCTTAAGTTCTCCTTTAAAGGCTCTTCATATAACATGATACCCAGAAGTGAAGGAGTGTGTCTGTATAAAGGTGTCACTTATTTACACTCAGAAAATCAACACCACCATGGAATTTGACAGGGGCTCTTAGACTTATGCAAAAAATATCCTCAAGGGTTCTTTAGTAGACAGTGGTTGTATATAGAACGATGAATACTCAAAGAACCATTTGCATGATTAAATGCGCCTCTGCATGGTGGAATGGTTCTTCAGATTGATGGAGAATGTGCGGTATATGGTTCTATATAGAACCTTTTTGAAAATGGTACTAATTGGATTTAGAAAGGGTTCTGCTATTGGTACACTGTCAAGCTCGTAACCTTTTTGGTGCTATGTACAACCGTATACAACACATTCTCCATCAGTCTGAAGAACGCTTTGGGCGTACAGATGTTTTTTTTGAGTTTTCATAGTTCTATACAGAACCGTTCTCTTTACTAAAGAACTCTTAAGAGTGTAAGTGTAAATAAGTTAACACATTCTCTATGGAGAAAACATTTTAATGCACAGTTACTGTTTATTAGCTGAATTTAACACATTGTAAACACACACACACATTTTCTAAACTGCTTATCTTTCTGGGTCGTGGGAGGGTGCTGGAGCCTATCCCAGCGGTCACTGGGCAGAAGGCAGGATACTCCCTGGACAGGTCAGTATATAAACAGTAATTGTTTATTAAAATGTGCAGACGTGTGTTCTCTGAAGAGGATGTGTTAACTTACTCACACATCAACAACAACATGGAATTTGACCAGGGGTGCACAAACTTTTGCATACAGTCATAAATAATAAGCTGAACAGAAAAAAAATAAATAACCGTCATTTTTAGCAGATTTAAAATGAGCGTTTCTGTTGGAACAGTTAAGCATGATTATGTTTTCAGCTGCGTGTGTTGTGTTATTGTTTTTTTACGGGCTTGTTTTTAATAAATAGTGTATAACAACAGTTATGAATAGTGACAATAATAACTGAAAGAGTGATAATGCAGAGAAACAGCCAAACAGCTGTAACAGTGTCTCAGTTAATGTGCTGATGTGAATGTTTGCTATTATTTATACATTTATCTGATAAGAACCTAATACTGCAATGTTATAATGCCATAAGCTCTATATACAGTTGTCTGCATAAGTTTAGGCACCCCTGCTCAAATTCCATATTGTTGTTGACTTTCTAAGTGTAAATAAGTTAAACATTCTCTGCAGAGACACACTTCTGAATATTTTAATATATATAATAATGCTTATTTACTGAATTTAACACAGTGAGGGGCAAAATGTGGCCTGTGCAAAAGTTAAAAAGCACTTTTTATATTATATGGTTTTACAATGTGTTAAATTCAGCTAATAAACAGTAACATTAAATTGTTTTCTCCATGGAGGATGTTTAACTTTTTTACTTTTTTACGCTCTTAAAAAAAGAGTTCTTTAGTAAAGACAATGGTTCTGTATAGAACCATGAGAACTTAAAGAATCATCTGCATGCTCAAAGCGTTCTTCAGATTGATGGAGAATGTGTTGTATACGGTTATACACAGCACCAAAAAGGTTACAAGCTTGACAATGTACCAATAGCAGAACGCTTTTTGGATCAAATTAGAAGTATTTTTTAGAAAAGGTTCTATATAGAACTATACATCGATCAGGCATGACATTATGACCACCTCCTTGTTTCTATGCTCATTGTCCATTTTTTCAGCTCCACTTACTATATAGGTGCACTTTGTAGTTCTACAATTACAGACCAGATCCACTCAGACCAGCGCAACACACACTAACACACCACCACCACGTCAGTGTTACTGCAGTACTGAGAATGATCCTCCACCCAAATAGTACCTGCTCTGTGAGGGTCCATGGGGGGGTCCTGACCACTGAAGAATTGGGTAAAAGGGGGCTAACAAAGTATGCAGATAAACAGATGGACTACAGACTGTAATTGTAGAACTACAAAGTGCACCTATATGGTAAGTGGAGCTGATAAAATGGACAATGAGTGTAGAAACAAGGATCATAATGTTATGCCTGATCGGTGTCTACAACACATCCTCCATCACTCTGTAGAACGATTTCATAATGCAGAGAAGCATTTAATCATGCAAATGGTTCTTTGAATGTTCGTGGTTCTATATAGAAGCACTGTCTTTACTAAAGAATCATTGAAGAGTGTAGAAAATAAACAACAAGAACATGGAATTTGACCCAAAGATTTTTTCATTGTCTGCTACAGCAAATAAACAGACAAACAAACTCTTCAGGCAAACAATATGCTTTCCGTTTTAATTAGGAAGAGAGAGACAGTACAAAATAGACATTCTTCTCTATACATACACAGGAATTAAAGGCCAATAAGAAATACAAGTAATCGTTAAGTACATGTAGGTTTGGAAAAGAGTCGTTCTTTGTTAATGAGATCCAGTTAGTGGAGAGCTGAAGGCACAGGGGTGAAGTTTTCTTTTTGGTCTTGGGTAAATATTTACACTGGAGAGCTTTAAAGAGGATAAAAATACAGGAGAAAATTAAGACATTAGTGGCTCAGCGGCCGACGAGTGTCTAGTCCTTACAGGCTGATAATAAAGCACAAAAATATAACCCCACCTTCGCTGTTTTCTGCCTCATCAAAAGCATAAGAAAGAGTACAAACACATCAGGAGGTATACCAAAACAGTACAAATGCACAAAGCTATCATAAAAATATACCAAAACATGTTTACTGTGTGACAGGAATATCAGCGCCCTCTAGTGAGTAGAAATGTAAAGCTAGCTACAGTTCGAACTGTCCGCCAATTTCCTTCAGTGGTGCTAAATTCAGGCCTCAAAGTGAGTGTAGATCGTGAAAATTTGGTATTTGTTTGCTATTTATTAAGTAAAAAAAGCATGAGCCCTTTAGGTGTAACATTTGTTCTCTAGGAGATCCTGAACGGTAAAAATCCGTCAGTAAGACGAGTGTTGAAGGAAATTGGGTACATTTTGGTGCACATGCACTGTTCTCCAGCCCCAAGGTTATGTGTACGAGAACAAATTCAGCAAAAGTAGGACAGATGAAGTGCAATCCCACTGATTTTTTTTAAATTTCAGCATAGCTGAGTGGTTCAAAAGTCATTCAGAGTGTTTTGGAGTGAAATGCTCTATTTTAGACAAACTTAGTCAGAATTGTTCACAGTGATGGCGATAGGAACCAGATGTCCACCTCTAAAACCTCCCTCACAGATATACGAGGTGGTTATGAATACACTGCCTGATGAGACCTTGTTTCACAATAGTTTTTGAGAAGATTTCATTGTTAAAATCATCAACATTCCATATAAAACTCAGAAGACACGTGTAGGTTCACTAGTGCTTTTGGATAGTAAATAAATTGTACATATTTGTGTTGTGGTCATGGCGACTGCTTTTTCCTATCACCACCACTGTAAAGAAATCTGAACCATTTCACACCAAAGCACTCTGAATTACGAAGGAATTTTGGTGGAATTCCTCTTTAAGGCTATACGTTGATCAAGTGTTTGTGCCTGTTTGCTGGTTTAGCATCCTACTTGTCATAAATCTCGACACATTTCAGCGCAGAAATGCATACAAACACAAATTTATGAGCACTTGAGCTGCTGGCGAGGACTGTTCTGTTTGTGACCCACTTCATCTGAACTCCACACAGCAAGACGGCTGTCTGGGTCGTCTATTTCGGCCTCGTCCGCTAACGCACGGCGCGTCCCGTCATCCATTTCGCATCAATTACAGTTACACAGTGTGCAGGTTCTCCTGGGCTGAGGCTAAAAACCCAGAGTCGTCACGACAACCTGACAGAGACGATATACGCTTCAACATTATGTACAGAAATCATACAAACACACAGCTATTCATAGTGGTTTGGTTAAAAGGCAATGTGGCGAAGAGCAAAAAGAAGGAAAGAGAATATAGAAAATATTCTAGAAATCTGGAATGCCAAAATTGGGAAAACACTGGCTGTCAAAAGTTTGAGGACATTTTGCTTTCTTTGGAAATCTGAAATTAAAGCATAGGATTAATCAGAAAGACTTTGGACTTTATAGAGATCCTCAAGGTACAATAACTAGACTTTTAGCAGAAGATGAATGACTTTTAAAGGGCCCATGTCATGAACAGCCTTCAAGTTTTTTTTTAAATATGAGAGTTTGATGTTGTTTGTAGTTTCAAAACCAGCCCCACCCACTCACAGTAAATTTATAAGGAGGGTTTCAGCTCAGACTGCTTTCTGAATGAGGCACAATACACGACAAATCACAACAGAGCTCATTTGCATATATTAGCCTTAAATGCACAGTAAGAAAAATAGCCAGTTTAATTCTGATGGTTAAAGAGAGGCTGAAAACAGTCAGATAGAAATGAATTAGGGCTACATAAAACCTCACAAATGTTATAAGTTGACCACAACAAAAATACAGGATATGGGCCCTTTAAAGATGCACCGCATCCTGGTTTTTAAACACATCAAAGCGTGTTCCATATAAAATCACTCAGTGTCGCTACCACACGTGATTTGGAGTGAGAGCATTTTCTTTGGACCTTCTGTAAATTAAAAAATAAAAACTGATTTCAAAATAATTTACATTTTTTCCAACTATCACATCCATGCCGTTACTATTCAGTTTAAGCAAGAAAAAATGTAAATGTTTCATCGCAATTTAGCTAATTTTAAGGTTAAATTAATTGAATACTATTTTTCATCATTTGTTTCTCATTATTCAAAGTCTTCATCATGTGATGCTAGTCAAATATCTAAGTTAAATATTTTAGATTCTTAAATCTGATTGGCTGCTGACAACACGATAAATTTCACGATCAACAGCTTTTAAGCTTTTATTGCTTTCATTACTTTAACTTTGGAGTTGGACTTTTATTCTATTTTTTACACATTTTTACTTCGTTTTTTGCATTTGGCCTGTTCTTTTTTTACTGCATTGTGAAACACTTTGAGCTGCATTTTAAACATAAAAGTTCAATATGAATATAGTGTCCTGTTATTATTATAATTGTTAATGATAATATTACTATTGTTATAAAGTCTTATATGGAAGCTCTTTTGGCCCAATGTACGATTTTTATCAGCTGTTGCTAAAGTTCTGAAGCTTTTTTGCAAAGAAAAAGGGCAACATCTATTTAGTTTTCAGTATTATGTCAAGTTATTGAAAAGTAACAGAAAACACACTAAAAACATTTTGACAAATTGTCCCCAAACTTCCGCAGGCAGTGTAGGTGAACTGTAGTGGACATCTATGGTATGTTTGTTTAGACGCAGCGTTTAGAGGTTCAGCGTTGTTGACATTTGGTCACCATGAGCGCTGGTGCGTTTTATCAGCTACACAAATTCAACATCTCTCCCGAAAAGGCGGATCTGTCAAAGAGAACGACAGCATTCAGACACTGAGACGAGAAAACTGATCACACTGTGACGGCTTAAATCAATAATCTACTGATAGACGCGCAAGGACAGCGTGAATACAGTAGCAGTGACAAGGCTGGACACCCTGTTCCTCAAGAACTTTTCTTATTTTTACTACTTTCCACCTTAGAATAACAGTGCAAATAAACTACTGTTGTTATATATTTTAGATTCTCCAATCTGGCTGCTGAGCTAGTTGTTGTGAGAGAGTTAATAAATCAAATTGTATCAAATTTTAGAAATAAATTTACACACATTTTAGTCATATATGGAGAAAGTGTATTTATCAACTTCAATATAGGAAAGAAAAGTGGTCAGTGCGCCCCCTGCTGTTTGCATTTAAATCATAGGCTAAGTTAATTAAATTGGGGGTGAACTTTACAGTTATTTAGAGTACACAATAATATTATAACATGTTCAAAACATATTCAGTTATATTCGACTTCACATCAATGATCAAATGGATAATTAACAAAAAAATGTATACGTCAAAATGAATGACGATTTCAAATGTTTTGAACGTGACCAGCAGATGGCGCAGTTCTGCACTTTCCCTCCTCACATTTGTCTTCAAAACAAAGTTTAAACACTTAAGCTTAAGTCTTTAGATCAAAATGTTTATGAAAAACATGCAGCCAGATGGGTCCAAACATTTCACTGCTACTGTACAGAGTTAAGCCACACCCACGTACGCATACATTACGCAGCTTTCGGAAACCGAAGAGTATACAGTATCTGGTTGAGTGATTCAGTGCACTGGTGCCAATTCTGGCTAACTGGTCGGTACAACATGATTATATTAACTGACGACAGTAGAAACGTAAAACACTGTTTAAAAAAAGACGTGGTTGATGCGCATTTTTAACATTACACACACAACAAAGCGAGCAAAAATCAAATGTACACAATTTTCCACCTTATCTCAAATGCCGTTGATTGGCCAAGACAGGTTTGGTGTCTGTTCCAGCAATCTTCAGTTTTCCAGGTGGTTGCTACTGTTTTTAGCTTTATGCTAACATACTTTAGTCCATGTTTCTAGATAACAGTGTATCATACAGTGTCAGAAACCACATAATCAAGACTATTAGACTCTATTATTGTTACTGAACACACGCTTTGAGGCGAGCAGTGATTTAGGCATGCCGTTAACTGTAAATCCACTGCTTGTTAGCTACATTAGCCTCGTAACTCCAGTGCTCAACTTAAGAAGAAAACTCCAGACCCCAAACATGTATTGGCTAATCAATAGCATTTGGCATAAGGGGGGTGAATTTGATTCTTTTCCCCAAAAAATCGCTTTAAGAGTGGCATCTGGAACATAGGTTACCAGCAGAAAACAACACAAGTCATTAAAAAACACTCTCAAAGCTTTCAAAAGTAACTTCTGAGTGCAGAGCATGGAAAGAAAACCGCATCCACAGGTTTAAACTGGTTCAAACTAGACTTTTCCTGAATAAAACATGCAGCGCAAAAGGAAAGACAAGTTAAGACATTTCTAGTTTTATGATAACTTGTATGGGATGTGATGTTCAGCGCATATTTTAACCTCCTGTTGAAAGGCAAGTACAGATTTTTGGTCAAGTGCAAAGAAATCCTGATTTGGAGACAAAAGAATGTAGAAAATGGAAGAGAAGACTGAAGAAGCTGAGATGTTTAACCCTCATGTTTGCTTTAAGAGCTCAAAAACACACTTAAAGTTCATCAGCTTTCATCATCGCTGCTTATGATTTTGGCTCGGGGATCCATTTCAGAAGGATTTGACTGAAAATAATATATACACACACACACACACACACATATATATATATATATATATATATATATATATATATATATATATATATATATATATATATATATATATGTATGTATGTCATCACTGTCATTGTAATGTTATAGTATAAAGATAAATGTTCCTTATTTTATATTAACCCCCTTAAATTCGCAGGTTGATTACACCCTAATTTATGCAAACTGACGTAGTATTCCTAAATTACAGAAGTGAAGAATGCAAGCCTGGCATGTAAGGGGTTAATGCAGCATGATTTTACTCCAATTAAAGTAAATATATATAATTTTGATCATTTCTATTGGTCTATTTTTCAAGAAATATTCATACAATGTAGCTGGAAAAATGTAAGTAAGAAAAAAGTGAGTTATGAGGTTCTGAAATCTGTTATTTGTTCATGTAAAGTCTAAATATCACAAACATATTCATTATTTGGTGGAATAATAATGCTTGATGGTCATTTCTGAGTTTTCTGATTTAATCTGTTGTTGGAGTATTGTCCAAAACAGACTAAACTAGTTTTTCACTCATATTGGATATGTGACTACAGAGAGGGATACTGACTGGTCAGCTGTAATGATGATGCCACCATTGTGATGATCTGTTGGAAATGATCTGATGGAGATGCTATTGCTGTTCATGTATGGCCATATTTATGCTTATTTATGGTCTTTCTGAAATGTGCAGCTACTTTGTGATGAAACAGAGGCTTTTAATAAGGACAAAAGAACACAGTGAAAATGAAAATGGGCTAATTCTAAATTCATTCTTATTAGTTGTACATTTAGCCACCCAATGAGGAAATAAATGTATGTAATTAATGGAATTACTTCAATTTTGGCAAAACTTGAGGGTTAAAGCTGCTCAGCCTGGTTTACTTTCTATTCGGAGAGATAAAAGTCTCCCCTGGTCAGCGAAAACTCATATACAGTGGTCACAGAGTAGCGCAGAGCAACTCGGTGTGTGTTTTTGCATGAACTGAAGCTGCATTTGGGCCGAGTGTGCACGAAAAGCAGCGTTTAACACTTAAACACACTCAGCCGGTGAGCCACGGATGAGCACCGACTGTGACTGAACTGAAAACAGTTCTGCTTTGCTTCATTTAGAAAAAAAAAATGATCTAATGTTATGTAAATAACTTAGACCTTTTTTGTCCCCGAGGTCTGGAATAATAAAACAAAAAGAAACGCTATGTATCATAGTTCACATTATGGAATGCACAGTGCAAAAAAATAACAATAACAAAGAATAAACAATTTGTCCAAATCTTCCTTCTTTTTTCTTCTTTAGTGGTTAACGTCGTGGACGAAATGACATCATTGATAAAAAAGAGTGAGGACCCACTTTTGTGGTTGCCAGGCGCTAAAAAATCCCCCCCAGGGATTTCCTCACATGCAAAACAGTGATGAGAATGAGGAAGGAGCAAAATGACTCAAAAGTGAGTTTTGTCTTCAAATCCTGCTTCTCATCTCCAGCAAAAGTGGATCGGTCCATTCCACAAGGCACAGGGGAATAAAACGGAGAGTAATCGCTCAGGAATGCCCCTGTTTAGGGTCCGATTTGCAGTTAAAAAAGAAAAAAAAAAGGTGAAAATGTGTCACCTTCTAACATGTCAGTGTACGGATCTGGGAGTGGATGGAGAGAAAGTTCCGGGTTTTTCCGAAGACTTCCGGTTAGCTTAACCACATTGCTCTACTGACACACGGTCAATATAGAGCCTAGGAGGAAGTAGCATAGGAGTAAAACAGGAAGTGACGTCGCCACAGCCCCTCCCATCGAAGGCACTGCTGGTCCTAAGGCAGCGAGAGAGGCTGACTCTCGCAGTCATGTGACATGGAACTCCACTGTGATTGGACAGCCGGATGGAGGGAAAGTGGACATGGGGCCTACAAGGCCTACTGGTCGTGCTCCATAGGCTCATCAGGGAGGCTGAAGGTGAAAAGAGAGAGAGAGAGATAGCCATGATTTTACGTTCAGTTTTTATTAGAAACACCTACCTTATACTTACACAAATTGGCCACTTTATTAGAAACACTTACCTTGCACTTCGACTAACGGGCCATTTTTTTAGAAACACCCACCTTATGCTTCCACTAACTGGCCACTTTATTAGAAACACTTACCGTGTGCTTCCACTAACTGGCCACTTTATTAGAAACGTCTATCTTGTACTTATACTAACTGGCCACTTTATTAGAAACACCTTGTACTTATACGAACTGGCCACTTTATTAAAGACACTCACCTTGTACTTCCACTAACTGGCCACTTCATTAGAAACGCATACCTTGTGCTTCCACTAACTGGCCACTTTATTAGAAACACCTACCTTATACATCCACTAACTGGCCACTTTATTAGAAACACTGTAAATATCCACTTACTACGAAAACATTACAGTATGTGAAGGTGTTTTGAACAATCAGCTCAGCCTTTGGCACCAACAGAACTGTTAGACAAATTGTGCATCAGCAGATGATCTACAGTCTGTAACTGGACACCAGCGAGGTGAAGCTACAGGGGAGGGGTCTCTGATAAAGTGGCCAGGAATGTAACACTAACAGACTGCAGAAGAAAACAAAGTGGTCTAACAATGATTAAGTGAAAGGTGTCAGGGTGAACGTTTGGGTGTGATTGGTCACCTCTTGCTGGTCAGAACGCCCACAGAGAGAGAAGCCAAAGCCTTCACCGCATCAGTCTCCTCACAGTCTCCTTTCTGAGCACCAAGGAACGATAAACCCACTGAGCCCATCAGTGGCTTCAGACATGACCAGTACTGACCTGAGAGTGAGAGTGAGAGAGAGAGAGAGAGAGAGAGAGAAAGAGAGAGAGAGAGAGAGAGATCAGCCTTGATCATTACAAAGGCCACACAGTGCATCCCCTTCACTCTCCTTTATTGGAGTATGTGGTGGAGTCGAGCCATATGGCGAAACATAACAACCATCATGATTATAATTAATTACAAAGAATTAAACAAATGTGTGCTACCAGGAAGCCTGCGCATTTCAGCATAATTAGAGTCAGACATGGAGAAAAAAGAAAGGAGAGAAGGAGAGCAGGAAAAAAGAAGAGAGAGAGAGAGGGAGAGAGAGAGAGAAAAAAGTGAGAAAAAGCAAAGTTAGAGCTGACAGAGTGAATGAATATCAAGAGGTAAAAAAGGAAAAAGGGAAAGATTGAGAAGAAAAACAGAAAGAGAGAGATAAGAGTGAGAGATAAAAGACAAAAAGAAGATGAAGAAGGGAAAGAACAGGAGGTGAGTGAGAGAGAGAGACAGAGAAAGTGGGATGGTGAGAAAATGGTAAAGTGAGAAGTTAATAATAGCAGGATGTAAAAAGAAAAAAGAAAGGAAAAAACAAAAGGAGAGAGATAAAAGACAAAAGGGACAGAAAGAGAGAGAGAGAGAGAGAGAGAAAGAGAGAGAGAGAGACACACTCACTCTGTATCTGCAGGACTCTCTGTAGTGACAGAACTCCATTAGTATTGGGCTTCTGCAGGAGAACTTCTTCTGGGAAAGGATCCTAGTAGAGAGAGAGAGAGAGACAGAGAGAGAGAGAGAGAGAGAGAGAGGGGGGAGGGAGAGAGAGAGTGAGAGAGAGAGAGAGAGAGAGAGAGAGAGAGAGAGGGAGAGAGAGAAAGAGACAGAGAGAGTGAGAGAGAGAGAGAGAGAGAGAGAGAGGGAGGGAGAGAGAGAAAGAGACAGAGAAAGTGAGAGAGAGAGAGAGAGAGAGAGAGAGAGAGAGAGAGACAAACAGACGTTGATCAGTAAAATCATACACAGATCAACACCATGATCTATTGGAGCTGCTGAGCTCCTAATAACTTCAAACCTGCATTTACTGCAAATACAGCCAGGAGGTACGTGGCAAAAGTAGCTGAGCAGCACTGGAAGCTTATTCCCTACCGGTTAGCATGGTGCTAACTGCATGTCCAAGGCTTTGTTCACATAGCTCGGAAAAGTGGCCCAAATCCGATCTTTTTCTTCATACGTGACACAGATGTGTTACCCGTGCGTCAGTGTGAACAGCAAAAAACACAATGAATTTGACATTTTCTATTCCAATTTGGGACACTTTCATATGTGGTACTGAAATCCGATACATATCCGATATGTGACAATGCGACTCAGTCTAAACGGTCAAGTTCAAGGAATTCATGCAACTTTTACGTCAATCAAACTCCATATTCATCATAATTTGGCAATGTTGAGACCTTATAAACATCTGGGCTGATGTTTCTGTACAAAAAAATTGAAGAGACTTATCCACACCGCTCCATGTTTGAAGAGATTTCTAAGAAATGGCTGAACGTGGCTGTAGGAGACCAAGGCTGCAGCGTCAACGAACCAAAGAAGTGACCGTGCCCTTTTAACAATGAGCTTGAACAAACTGTGGGTGATGAGCCCAGCTGTAAGTCAGTGAAGCTTCATAATTGCTCCTGTGATCCTGGCGAAGATGAAACTGAAACCTCAGGGAGCGACTGGCATTCATTGGCAGTCGTGATTGTTTACCTCTGGATGAGCACGCCACGTCAAACAACGTGAAGCATTGATCTTTTGCGCATTCGGGTCAGTTTAGGAGCTGATCTGTTCAGACTAATGTTGCATACAGGTCACATATAAAAGATACTGTGAACAGCCAAACAGCAAAATCTTATTTGGTGAGAAAATCAGATTAGAGCCACTTTCACCTGCTGTGTGAATGTAGCCCAAGACATCACATGGTGGTCTCAAAAGAACAAAATTCAGGCTTTTAGGTGGCTGCTAACGTTTTCTGTTATGTGACGTGTATAGAAAACAACTCCACAGTCAGTGTGACACATGCAGTTAGCATCATGCTAATTGTTGAGGTATAAACATCTTTTACTTGTTAGCTACATTAGCCTCGTAGCTCCAGTGCTAAAACTAAACAAGCAAACTCCAGACAGCAAACACGTCTTGGCTGACTGACTACATTGTGTGTCAACTTCTCTAAACTACACTCTTAAAAAAGATGCTTCTTCAAGGGTTCTTTAGTAAACACAGTGGTTCTATATAGAACCATGAACACTCCAAGAACCATCTGCATGTTTAAAAGGTTCTTTGCGTGGTGAAATGGTTCTTCAGATTGATGAAGAATGTGTTGTATTTGGTTTTATATACAACGTTTTTGTAAAGAAATTCTTCTTGTTATGATAATTAAGCTTTCACCATGCAAAGAACCTTTTAAGCATTCAAATGGTTCTTTGAGTGTTCATGGCATTATAAACAACCACTCTGAAGAACCACAATTTTTAAGAGTGTATCACTTTAATCTCTCTGAATCCCATCACAGCAATTATTTTCATTATAATAATTATGAAAGGTGTGTAAACGTAGTTGTGTGTTCTACCTCCAGTCCCAGAAGAGCGCTGACGCAGGCTTCTGACGCGTCACAGATTGCTGTGAGGTCGTGACCCCCCTCCAGCGCCAGAACCACACGCCCTCCTGCCAACGCCATCAGCTGTTGGGTCAGGAACCCAAAACCTGACGAAAGAACATCCACAATCACTCACAGAGTCAAATCACAACACACAAGTTGAGTGTTTCTAATAAAGTGGCCATTAGGTGAAGCACAAGGTGGGTGTTTCTAATAAAGTGGCCAGTGTAGTGGGATCACAAAATGGGTGTTTAGTCAGTCAGTGTATAAATTATATATGAATAATTATTATCATACACTTGGCTGTGACTTTGTATCCTCCTAATGGTGCCGGATGTCCCTCTGCAGCATCAAATCCAGATGAGACCAGAACCATATCTGGAGAAAACTCCCGAGCAATCGGCATCACCACCGTCCTGCACACACACAGCGCACACACAGTCAGTGTTGCATCTTATAGGCAAAATCCTCATTCACAGCTGTGAAATTATGCAATCATGCAATTACATTTACATTATTATGTTTTATATATATATATATATATATATATATGTATGTACACACACACACACATATAACTAATTAAACACCACCCATCTGTATTGTATGCGTTATGATTATGATTAATTTATCTGTAAAATTAAATTTTAGATAGATTAAGAAGAACACAGAGTCTAGAACCTGACAGGAACATTTTGTGGCTAATATTGATAATAACAAATAATATCATGGAGTCAAATCCTGATTGTATTTCCACAACCAAATATTTGCTAATTAGAATCATGTTATCACAATATTTTAGCAGATACTGATAAAACTGACTATAAACAATATTGTCAGGAAACGGATGTATCGATCAGGCCCTACTGCAGACGCCATGTTTATTCTGCTTTATATTGTTTTATTGTGTTTTATTCTGTTTGTTTTTAGAGTTTAATGATAGACAAACATCAGCAGCACAGTTTGAGTCAATGACCACAATAACAACACAGATAACACCATAACAGTACAGTAGTGCTGCTCACTGCTCTTCAGTTTCTCTACCTCTCTCTGTCCTCTTGTTTTTCTCTTTTGCTCTCTCTTTCTCTCATCTCTCTTTCTCCTTGCCCTCCCTAGCTCATCTTTCTCTTTTCTCCCCCTCTTTCTGTTTTATCTGCCCTTCTCTCTCTTTGCCCTGTTTCTCTCTCACTCTGTCTTTTTTGATCCTTCTTTCTCTCCTCTCTCGCTCTTTCTGTTTTTGTCCTCTGTCCTTTGCTGTCTTTCTCTCTCTCTTTCTCTTTACCCTCTTGCTCTCTCTCTCTCCCTCTCTTTCTCTCTTCCTCTCTCTCTCTCTAGCTCATCTCTCTCAGTTCAAAGTCACCGCAGTCTGCTGGTTCTCGTTATAATTTTGTCACTCCGCTCACGTCACTGACAGCCCGCCATCTGGGAGCCATTCACTCTAATTACCCACAATCCCCCACTTCACCCCCAACCTCCCTCACCGTGGAAACCACCCCACCTCCCTCCAGACCAATAAAACTACCCACGATCCCCTGCGTGGAGGGAGGGGGGAGAGGGAAAGAGAGAGATGGAAGTAATAGAGAGAGAGAAAGAAAGAGACAGAAAAAAGAAAGAGGGAAACAGAAAAAAAGCAAGAAAGAAAGAGAGAGAAAAGACAGAAACAAGACAGAGAGAAGATGCAAGGAACAAAAAAGAAAAAGACGGAAACAGAGAAAGACGTGGAGAGAAGAGAGAGATAAGGTGAGGTGAGAAAGAAAGAAAAAAGAGATAGAGAAAGAGATGGAAAAGAGAAAGAGAGAGAAGATGACTGGAACAAAAAGACAGAAAAAGAGGAGAGGGTGAAGAAAGAAAGCAAGAAAAAATGATGGATAAAGAGAGGAAAAAGAGACAAAGAGAGAAAGAAATGGGAAAAAAGAGAAAAAGAGAAGATGAAGGGAACAAGAAAGACAGAGAGAAAGAGAGCATAGGAGAGTGAGGAGCGCAAAAAAGAAAAAAGAGGGATAGAGAGAGAGAGATGAGAGAGAGATACAGATGGAAAAGAGAAAGAGAGAAGATGAAGGGAACAGGAAAGAAAAAAGCAGAGAGAGTGAGGAGAGAGAAAAAGAAAGGAAAAGAGCATTCATTAAAGTGAGTGAGAGTTGAAAGAAACAGAAAATAAAGAGAGAAAGGTAGAGACAGCAAGTAGAGAAAGACAGAAAAAAGAAAAAGAGAAAGAGAGGATTCATTAAAGTGAAAGAGAGAGAGAGCATGAGAGAAAGAGGAAGAGGCTGATTAGCTGTAATATGTGTACAGAAGTATAGATGCAGAAACACATTAAAAGTCCTGAAACCCAGAAAGCGGCGGGTCTGCATTCGAGCCCACCCAGTCTGGTGGGCTTCACTCAAAGCCGAAGGAGCCTTCCATCAAGAATACAGAAGACTTTATTGAAACCACCCACCGGTGGCGATTAAATGGCATGTGGAAGTGGCAGAGCGAGAGCGCTGCCCTGAAAGAGAAGAAAGAGCTGGAAATAATTTAGCGCTCGGCGACGGATTTAAATGTCGACTGGACGTCCAGCTGTGATCAAAGCGTTTAGAGCTCAGTGTCACGAACACGATCGCTAATCAATCGATCCCCCAAACCTTCAAACAAGCCTCCGTTAGCATATGGCTTTGCATTCGGGTCATCAGCGCTGTGTCTGATGTTGTAAATCTAATCAATGCAGTGTGGAACCCTGAGGACCATCTAGATCTTCAGAGATCTCCAGGAATTAAAAATACATCTGTAAATTATAGCTCATATTTATTTAATAGAACCATAATGCTTGTTTTATTTAAACTCTGCAGTAATTCTCTTAATTCACTGTCACGTTTTGGCTGGAAAGCAAAAGCAGTCTGAGCAGGTTCCGGGTGGTTGTTAGGAATGGAAAACAGTGACAGCAGAACTCTTTACTGTAAAACTGATACAAACGAGCTCAGGTATCTGTTCATGTCAGTTACAAGCTTCAAATAAAACATATAGAATGTTTTTTACAAGCTTTAATCTAATAATTCACAACCATTAGCTTGTCACTGAATATGCTATTAGAAATTCAATAGGGACACTTGCAGAAGTTAGCCTAATCTTAGTAATTTTACCATTTTACCACATATCCAAGTGGTTTATCTATCTATCTATCTATCTATCTATCTATCTATCTATCTATCTATCTATCTATCGTCCATCCATCCATCTATCCATCCATCTATCCATCCATCCATCCATCCCAGCATGGTCTTCAGACATTCCATATCAGAGTTCGTCACATGAAAGTAGTTTAGTAAACGGATCACGTCTCACCTGAAGGCAGCCAGGTACTCAGCATCGCCCATCGGGGGCTCCAGACCTCCGGTCCACGCCACGTTCACATTGAACCCCTCACCAGCACCAGAACCCACCTGGAAATGCAAACAGAGGGAAGTGAAGATCTGCTGAAGAGGGATAGGTTCTGGAACAAAATCTTGTCCTAAAAGTAAGTGAGTGTTTAAGCTTTTTGAAAATTGCCTGCTTTTACACATCACACCAAAAAAACCCACAACAGTGTGTGACTGTTTTTTTCTTGCTTGTCATTCGTTTGGGTAAGAGCCTCAAATCTGTCATTAATGTGAACGAACATCCTGAAATGACCCGCATACGCACATCCTGAATGAACCACATGTGTCACAAACTAACCAGCAGAATGAGCCTTTGTCACCAGGATCGTTCACTCTGATCAGCTCTCAGCTTCATCATTAGAGCGCGGCAAAGGCAAATACAGGCACTAACTTCAGGTTGGGTGCTGCTGCCATGGTAACGCTGAGCGATGGCACAGTGCGCGGTGAAAAAAAAACACATTAATTTGGATCTAAGCATTCACACTGAGGTCGCACGGCCACGAATCAGATATATATCCAATCCAGGATCACATACGGAAGTGGCTCAGATCTGTTATGAAAAGATCACTTTTGTGTGTTCGCACTGCTCTGAAAAAATTTAGATCTGATCTGAAATGGCATATCCAGTAAAAGTAAAGGGGGTGCTCTTCATGTGTACTTTGGGCTACAGTCACAATCTTGGTCTCTTCTGAAAGATAACTCTCAATTTTATTCAAAACAACTGTATGAGTTACTGTCACAGGGGACAAGTAAGAATGGAGGAGTTTATTTCCTCCTGACTAACAGACCTCTAAACTGATCTCTGACTCTTGCTGTGTTATCAGACCACACGCTTTGGATTATGATGTCTCTCTGGACAGCAGCAAGGCTTTGAAGGTGAGGACACACCAGATTTGCTAGCATTTGCTCTTTCGATGCTTATATTGCAAATACGATGATCGTAACTGGTTTGCGGGAATCAAATCCTGAGATTTCATGCTTTCTAGCAGTATATTGGATCACTGTATTGCTGGAGGATTTAATGCACAAAAATTATGTATATTTAAAAAAATGAAGTGAACGTTTTACGTGCCAGTACAGTGATCTACAAGAGGGTAAGGCAACAAATTGGATTCATCCCACTTCAGCCTGCTATAAAAGTTACTGTCATAATCTGAAATCTCTGACCTCTGCTGGTCCTCCACTGCCAGGGAAGAAGTTGCCGTTGTCGTAGCGATGGAGCGAGATGTACAGCACGCTGGGGTCATTGTAGAAAATCTCTTGGGTGCCGTTGCCATGGTGAACATCCTACGAAGTTATAAAAAGTCAGAATAACTTACAGGTCACAGACAGCAAAAATGACAACAGTATTTCAAACCTAAAGGGGAAAAACATCAATTATTAACATTTTCTGCTTAATTACATTCTAAACATATGAATGAGATGAGAGTTGAGAGTTGTTTGGTGTGAAATGCTCTGTTCTAGAGAAACTTACCAAGTCAGAATTGTTCACAGTGGTGGTGATAAGAATCAGAAGTCCACCTCTAAAAGCTCCCTCACAGAAAGTTATTACATTAAATGGTTATGAATACATTGTCTCATGTCTGAGACATTGTTCTACGATAGTTTAGTAATAATGTTTTGGTCTAAAACTTATTTTAATACATTTATTTTAATCCATTCATGGCAGGGGGATACATGCAGGGTGTTTTAATGCAAACTAGGCACCAAAGAAAACTTATTATTTCAGATTTTCCACTATTTTCCCATCAACAACATTCAATATAAAACTAAGAAGACACATGTAGGTTCACTGATGGTTTTGGATAGTAAATAAAATGGCTGTATTTGTGTTGTGGTCATGGTGACCCCTGGTTCCTATCACCACCACTATAAAGAAATCTGAACCATTTCACACCAAACCACACTGTTTACATCTCGCTCTCTCTCTCTTTCACTTATGCAGAAATTCTGAAAAACAGGTGGAACTCTCCTTAAAGTCACCTGTGCACTGACTACAAATAGTTTTAAGAAGTTACAAAGGAAAACCTTAAAGCATTTAAGGGAGGAAATATTTCATTTCTTAGATGTAGTTTAGATGTTATATGTTTATTTAGTTAAACAACAAGACTGACATTTTTATTTTAACTCATGGGTCTGTTTGCAGTGGGTTTAGACTTTTAATCTGGCCTCGTTTTAAAACTGAACTGAAATTAAGCAGAACTGAAGTGAACTGATCATGGCTGCTCACCCAGTCCACGATAAGGATTTTAGTGACGTTCAGCTTCTGCTGCAGCTGCTTAGCAGCGATGGCCACCGAGTTAAAGAAGCAGAAACCCCTGAGAGAGAGAGAGAGAGAGAGAGAGAGAGAGAGAGAGTTAGTTAGAGTTAGAGTTATTTGAGTTTTGTAGGATATTACAGGCAGGACTGAGTGGTCAGTACTGAAGAGCAGACTGGTCTCCAGTTCTAATTTAGAGCAGCTCTGTGGTCAAACTGACTCAGACATCACAGCAGCAGTAAAACAGAGCACCATTCAGAGCAGATAAACGCAGCACGTTTAAGAGGTTGAGAAAGAGAGATATTACGTCAGCTACGAGAGTCTGAGCACACACGCACACACAAAGATCCATTAATTCTGTTACTTGGTTATATGGGGGGGCAATATGACAATATTTATCATTACTGTGATAAATTACATCAGCTTTTCGGAGTATGTCATGGATTCAGTCAGTACTGTATATATTAGCGGTTGCACAGACTTGTCGAATTTACTGCTCAGCAATAACGATTTAATCTTGTCGTTGATCACATGATTATGACACTAATAACATGGACACCTCATGTATGTACGTACACACACACACACACACATATATATAAATATATATATTCATTAAAGTGAGAGAGACAGAGAGAAAGAGAGAGAGAGAGAGAGAGAGAGAGAGAGAGAGAGAGAGAGAAGTTGATCAAACGTGTACAGAAGTATAGAAGAAATCCAGAGAGCGGTGAACGGAAAGAGAAAGTAAAATGAGAGAGAGAGAGAAGAGACAGAAAGGGAGTGAAAGAGGAGACAGAGAGAGAGTGGGAGAGTGAAAAGGAGAGAGAGGGAGAGGAGGGAAAGAGAGAGAGTGGGAGAGGAATTTGTGAAGCAGAAGCTTCAGTATTTTAATAACAGCAGCATAAATCACCCTGTTTACCACCCCCCCACCCCCCCCCACCCATTATCAACCCATAAATATACACACACACCCTCACACAGACAGACTGCTGACACTGCAGCACATACACACACACTCCCAGAGTGACACTTACATGGGGTTAGAGGGGTCTGCATGATGTCCTGGTGGTCTGACCACGGCAAAACCGTTCTAAAGTAAAAGAAACCACATCATTATTAACCTGGAACACTCAAACAACCACACAAATACAGGCTTAATACAAAGAAAACCTTTACATTCCCACAGTACTCACATTAATCACTTTAAACAGTGTACTAGATAGCAGTGGGGAATGATCTGGGCCAAATATCTAACAGCCTTCTGACCAATCAGGGATGGCCTGTGGACCAAACAGGTTCAACCTTCTAACCAATCAGGGACAGCCATCTGACCAATCAGGGATAGTTGTATGACTAATCAGGGACAGTTTTCTGAAAAACTTCTGACCAAACAGGGACAGTCATCAGACCAATTAAGGACAGTATGTGGACCAATCAGGCACAGCCTTCTGGAAGAGCCTTCTGACCATTCAGGGACTGCCTTCTGACAAATCAGGGACAGCCTTCTGACCAATCAGGGACAGCCTTCTGACCAATCAGAGACAGCCTTCTGACCAGAAGTGAGGCAAACAATAACAAACATGGCGATGAAATCTCAGAGTGTCGCATGAGGTACAACAAATAACAATTCTGCAGTGAATGTCTCAGTACCTGCTGCTGCTCTTAGCAATACTAACAAAATACTGTTCACAGGAATAGTCTTTCAGGAATACTTGCGTTTTTTTTCTTTTTTAAATATGGTAATGATGACTATTCCGACTACTTTTTTGACTGACTAGTAGTGTGATGTTTGTACAAACACTGAGTGCATGTAAATGATAATCTGATTATGATTGGATTTCTGCAGATACCTGATTTTTCAAATGGTCATGTAAACAGCACACTCTGATTTCTTAGTTTGGAGTAAGGTCTAGAAATCTGACTAATAAATCTGATAAACAGGCTGGGTTTTAGCTCAGTACTCAGATTTCTCAGTGCATGTAAACTCTTACTCTGATTTCTTTCAGATTTCTCAGTCTGCGCATGTGTGAAAACAGACAGCAGTACCAGAAATAAGCAGCAGCAATGCCGCGAGACGCAGCAAAACACTTTTTACTTTGTAAACACACTGAACCAGTTACTGACACAATCTGATTTTCTGCAGTTATCGGACTATCAAGTACATGTAAATGCACTCACTATTTGCCCATGCTTGTATGAGTAACATACCTTCAGTTCTCCTTTAGCCACTCTGAAGGCCAGCTCAGTCACGCTGCCAGCCGCCATGCGCGACGCTGTAGATGTGTGCATCTCATTCCAGATGGTGTCATTATCTACCTGTAAATGGAGACAAACACATAAAAGATGGTTAGGTTACTCTTCTATTTTTTTGGGGGTCAATTTGACAGCTGCTCAGGAGAGAAGAGTGTGTCTGCAGAATATAGTCATATACCAAATTTAAGGAACCTAGGCCATTTTAAGTTGAGGCAACCAATCAGAACAGAACTCATTTACATATATCTTAAAGGTACAATAACAAAAAAAGCCTATTTAATTCTGAGTAACAAAGAGGTTTGAAAATGGGCGTGTGAAAATGAATTACAACACAAATGTCGTAAGTGGACCTCCGGGGAGAAATAAACATCAAGAATAATTCTTATTATTAGTATTATTGATGTAGGATGTGGGCCCTTCAATGGGACTAGCCTATTAGTTATTAGCATTAATAATTCGTCAGTCAGCACAGAGCAAAGCTGATACCATCCACTCTGAGATGCAGCTGAAAATTAACAGCTTTGATGGAGGCAAAATGTAGGATTTCATGCAGAGTGTAAACGACAGCTCTGTCTGCTGACAGCACAGCTCATCTCGCTGGAGAAAAGCTGGATCTGCTCTGGCTGCCTGAGCGCCGCCACGTTTATCACACTGACAGCGCAAACCAGCCCCAATAAATCTCCCCCCATCATCAGCGGGTCACGCAGGGGCAACAATCACACGACAGATCCAGGAAAACGCGCCAGATTCACTCAGCATCCCAAAACAGTCACATGTCCCAGAAAGGAATGTGTGAAACATCCAACTCAGCAGCATCTCAGTTGAACAATCCACTCTCACCAACACTCAACTCTCACTAACACTGCACTCTAACGCTCCACTCTCACTAATGCTGCACTCTCACCAACACTCCACTCTCATTAACACTGCACTTTCACTTACACTCCACTCTTACTAACACTGCACTCTCACCAATCACTTCACTCAATACGCTCCACCGCTCTCCAATTACTATACATTACTCTCACTATTGCTTCACACTCACAAATGCTGCAGTCTCATTATCGCTTCACACTCACTAATGCTTCACTTTCACTATCGTTCCACTCTCTATAATGCTGCAGTCTCACTACTGCTTCACACTCACTATTGCTTCACGCTCACTAATGCTTCACTTTCACTATCACTCCACTTTCTCTAGCGCTGCAGTCTCTCTATCGCTTCACACTCGCTATCATTTCACACTCACTCCACTCCACTTTTACTATCAATTTACACTATCGCTTCACACTCACTAACGCTCCGCTCTCACTAACACTGTAGTCTCTCTATTCGCTTCACACTAACGCTCCACTCTCACTAACATGACACTACACTATCGCTTTACACTCTCTATCGTTTCACACTCACTATAGCTCCACTCTCACTAACGCTGCACCCTCACTTCACACTCACCAACACTGCACTCTCACTAGTGCTGTTCTGTCATTATTTGTGTTAACTATATTTGATCTTACAGATGGGCATTCTAGACAAATTTGACATTTACATTTGTAAATTTGTACATTTCTGACTCTCTACAATCAACCACTTCACACCAAACCACTCTAAATGACTCACAATATTGCACATAATTACACAATAAATTATGGGGGAAGTTTAGTGAAATTGGTGAAATTCCCTTTACCTTGCTAATTTCTGAATCAGTTATTGATTATGTTTATCTACTACGGCATTAAATCTAATCTGAAATTTGCCTGTTTGCTCATATGAGGCTGTTTTTAGATCAGGCATTCCAGTAAATATGAAGAGAGAGAGAGAGAGAGAAAGAGGGTGGTGGGGGGGGTCAGTGTGGGGGGGGTGCATTAATCATTCATACAGATGTTAATGACGGATCCCGAATAAAAAAGGAGAGAGAAATATTACAGTGTAGCAGAGCGGGGGTGGCTGCGGATGGACGAGGATGAGGTTATGCATTCCTCCACCACTCTGTTGTGTTTGCTGCCCTGCTCCCTTCTTCTTCCTTTCTTTCTTTTCTCCCCCCCCCCTTCCCTCTCTCCTTCCCTCCCTCCCTCTCTCTTTTTGTTTTCCTTTACGGAACTCGCAGTGCTTGCGGTTTGGCAGCGAGTCTGGAGGAATTTCTTTTATCCTCCGCACTGCATATTGTTCCAATCACTCCAGCGGACGCACACACGCACACACATTTATCCGTAACTGAAGAACCGAGCAGCTCCAGAACGTCCTGTTTGGGCTGATGCAAAATCAGGGGTGCAGCGGTACAGTGAGCCCAAGGTTCAGTATGTGTCACTGTTTTTGGGCCACGGTACGGTTTCTGTATCTTTACTGAAGAAAAAAATAAAAACATCAATCTTTAAACAATGAACTCTTTATTTTGCCTGTACACAATTTTTTTTTCATTTCAGTCTGGCCTCTGTCTCTACGGTATGAAGGGGAGAAAAATGTTAAATTAAAAGTGCATGTTAACTTTGACAGCCTACAGGTGCTTTGCCTTCTCTATTTTAGAGAGGGCATCTATTCTTAGACTTAGACTTAGACTTAGACAGACTTTATTGTCATTCAAATTTACACCGTACAGTGCACATTAGAATGAAATTACGTTGCATAGGCTCAGAGTAGATCAGGAGAATTATAAATAATACAATGATATACAATAATACAATACAATAATACAATCTTTTTGTCTCATTGATGTTTCATAGAGTTTGGGAATTACTTTGCTGCTGAAATGTGTGCAGGAGTGGACACCGTAAAGGTCACTGTACACTGGACGCATAGCATAGTGTCACGTAGCAGAGTGCTGCTATAGAACAGTGCCTAAATGCCAGCTTCATATTCAGTTTTACACTATAGTCATATATACATATTTCGAGCTAAAAGAAACGCTAGGCTATAAATGTTAGCCAAGCTAACTTACTATTAGCATCTGTCTGTTTATCTACAAGACAGACTGCTGGAGTTGCCAAGCACCGCCACACCACTGCAGTGTCTCGCCATTGTCACATTGCAGCTGAGAGATTTGCAAAAAAACACTAAACTCTATCTTTTAAAAAACAAGATGACTGTCAACTGTCAAGCCCCTCTTGTCCATTGTCAAGGTGCAAGTTCACGTTTTACGTTCAGGTGAGGTGACGCAACACTGCCGCCAACTGTTTCAGGCAGAATCTCAAACAGCTCCCTGCTCCCTACAAAGAGCAGCACGTAGGTCTTAAAATAACAGCTACTGCATCTAAACCGAACTCAGTGTTTCTAATATAGAACTACTGTGAACTACACATGATTGAGCCATGTGAGCACAATTCATACTGGACATATTCAAGCGCAATATTTGGGTGAAAAAGACAAAATTTCATAACTGGCCACATTAGATCCCATTGTTTTGAGGTAAATGTGTCCCAAAGTCTGAAAATCAGTGTTGAACTATTTTCTGCAGTTAAGTAACTTTTTAGTGTTTTAATGAAAAATATGATGATTTTATACAAGTACAGTTCTTCACAGCTGTATTTGCTAGTCATGTACTGGCTGTGGTTTTGAGTTCTGATCAAAATGAGCTACAAATGTCACTACTAAGTTTGGGTAAAAACAGTTAATTGTTTATGTTTGTTTCTTTGGCACTGATAATATAACATTATATATAATATATATATATATATATATTACTGGCTAACATTTTTCAAAATGAGCCAAAACACTCACTACTGAAACAGCCACTACGCTGTTTGAAATACAGGTTCTGTACAGGTACATTGTTGATTCATCTAGGTACAAACAATGTAAATGTTCAAAGGTACATCAGTGGTTTTAAGGTCCAACTCTGAACCTTAAATAAGTTTTTCCAGGTGAAAAGTACATATTGGTATCTTTTCATAACTTGTTTTATGTTTTAAAACAGAACAATAGAATAAAAAGCCTGAAGACGAGATGGGGTGTGTGGAGTCAATACAGCTTAGAAAATATAATTTCAATGGATTATTATTGAACAATTATGTTCCCTGACTGAAGGTACTGAGATGTACCCTTCAGGGTTCTACCCCAATGACAGTTTACTGCCTTTATTTCTGAGAGAGTAGTGAAACATTTGGTAAAGTTTTGGTAGTGTTCTGATTGTTTTGGCAGTGACAAAATGGATTGTTCAATCATTTGTTTGTTTAGAGCAAATAAGACAAACATGATTAATTGTGATTAATCGCACAAAAGAATGTGAATCGAGATTAATAATGCGATAATGCAGATAACGTGGTGGAGATGTTCACTTACCCCAACTCCTCCACACGGCAGCATGACGAACATCCTCTGGGACAGAATGCCTGTTGAAGCAGAGTGACGCAGATTACAGATTAACTCTCTCACTCTACAGCCACATTCCTGCCTGCTTTCATAAACAATCAAACAAGCACCAGACTTCCAGCACGCTGCAGGGTTCCTCACTCTAGAACAGTTAGACAACCGTATTGTGAATGATCACACTGCAGATCCATGCTCTGATACGAGTACATGGAGTGTTGTATTCATTCTTATAAAAGATGGTTCTTCAAGGGATCTTTAGTATGGAATATGGTTCTATATAGAACCATGAATACTTAAAGAACAATTGGCATGATGAAAGAGGTCTTTGAGTGTTCATATATTCCATATAAATTCTACATAGCACCAAAACCGGTTCTTGTAATGTTACAAACTTGACGTTGCAATAATAGAAAAACCCTTTTTGGTTCTATAAAGAACACTTTACAAAAGGTTCTATACAGAACCATATACAGAACCTTCTCCATCAATCTGAAGAACCGTTTCACAATGCAAAAAAACATATTATAGATTATATAGAACCTTTTTCTTATATATAAATATATATGACATGTTTGAAAAGGTTTTTTCTAGCATCAAAAGAAGTTCTGCTATTGTTATGATGTCAAGCTTGTTACAGCAGAACGCTTTACGGTTCTATGAATTTATTGGAAGAGATCAAGCAATTGTATGTAAAATCAGACATTCGTAACCCCCACATAGCCGGAATGGAACAATCCACCTTCTGTAACGATTCCACTGTGAGACTGGCAGTGAAATCAGGCTCCTAAGATCAAATCGCCAATCAATCGACTATTTGGGGTCTCTTGTAGTTTATCAATATCAGAGTCTGCACAGCAGCCTTTTATATCATCAGCCATCAGAACGTTTCGCTCCTTGAAACCGGAGACTGAATGCATGCATGGCTGATGTGTGTGCGTGTGTTACCTGCGAGGTTGCGGTTGTCCAGTTTGAGGCGGTTGAGGGGGTTTGTGCCATACAGCAGAACGTGACGCTCAGTATGAACAGACTGCAGCTCCTCCAGAGTGGCCTTCCTGCCCCGAATACTCTACAGACACGGACAGACGTTTAAAGTGAGTTCAGAGAAAAATCAAACTCGCCCCATTTCCCCCCCAAATGTATCATTTTATCTCAAATGTGGTCGGTCAGCCAAACATCTGAACATCTGAAACAGTCCGAAGTAGAGCTGAAAGATTTGGGGAAAATATGTAATTGCGGTTTTCTTGAGTAATATTGCAACTGTGATTGAATTTGTGATTATTTTCTACAGATCTTTTTTTTTGGCCCAGAAGATCAGAATATCCACTCTTACTGACTTGAGGTTTGAGCCCTAAATGTAATGTGCTAGACTGTCAGTAAGTCATGGCTGTGATGTCACAACACATGGAGGGTTGGTTGCTTCTGATTGGTCTATCTAATCTACAGGTAGTTCACAAGCTTTGTGTTATTAGGTTAATTTCAACACTGTTAATAACTTAGGCTATAACTGTAAAAACCTTTTATTATTAAAATAAAGGTCATTTTGTCTTCTCCTGTAAAGTTAGCTTTTTTTTTTGCTTAACTTGTCTCTAAAAACTGAAGTACAGGCTTTATGAGGGCTGCTGCTCTTCATAACTATGTAAATATTGAGGTCCATTTTTTTAGATAATATTAATTATCTAAATCAGTATCAGTGCTGAATGGCAGAGTATAAGCTTCCATTACTTGACAGCTACATCAGTGCAGAAACAATGTTACAGAAAGACTACTCTTTAAAAGGATTTGAAATTAATTCATTATTGGTTATTAACAGGATCTGAGGTTAAACAGTACAGGGCCTATGTGTCAAACATAAGGCCCGTGGAGCTGACACAATCCTATCCTAGTATTTAAAATCTCTATAAATATTAGCCCATTTCACAATCCGCTGCACTACAATCCCCAGTATGCACTGCAACGTAATGTGCGCTCTGATTTTTTATCAAGTGCAACATTTTATTACATTTTTAGGCTTATTACATTACTGTGAAATTATTACAATACTGGGTTCTAAAGGTGTTCTCTGGCCGATGGATTTGTTGAGATTTTTTAATATGGCCATTGCAGTGGGTGAGTTTAACACCCCTGTAAGCTCACTGTTTCACAAGAAACAGGTCACTGTCGCTGTTTTTATTTATGCTATTACCTATTAATGATTTTAAGGTGTTTATTACCTAATTAATAACCATTAATGAACTACCATTAAACTCCTTTATACAACCCCTTTATATAAGAGCAGTGTTAATGTGAAGAGGGGCTCTAGTTCAAAACTACAGCAGTAATCTTCCTAGTTTACTGACTGTTATGCAGACTAATTTAGTTTGATTTGTCTTTTTAGCCTGTAGGGTGGGCTGTTACCTCACACTGGCCCCTCAGGCCTCTCTCCTGCAGGCGGGACCAGATACTCTGGATTCTCCCAGCATGCTCTGGGTGACTGCTGTTATCTCCACAGGTACACTGATGCTTCAACATCTGTGAATCGTAGACCAGACCTGAAAACACACACACACATACATAATATAACATTAGTAATATAGACACAAACACATATAATATTAGTAATATGCACACAAACACATAGTATAACTATTCTCTGGGTTTTAACTGGCTCTGATTTGACCCCTCTGGGCTGTGATTGGTTCTGATCTGACCCCTCTGGGCTGTGATTGGCTCTGATCTGACCCCTCTGGGCTGAGATTGGCTCTGATCTGACCCCTCTGGGCTGTGATTGGTCGGCGCTCTTACCCGTGGTGAAGCGTGGTTGGCTGTGTGGCTCGGCTGCTGTGGCAATGGGCATTGTTTTCTCGGGCAGCGTGTGTGAAGTAGAGGCGGGGGATGATTGCGTGCGGGACAACGGCCTGTGGACGCCACCGAGCATCATGGGAACTGCCAGGGTCTCCATGTGGGCGGTCTGTCTGCGCATCTGCTGCAGCTGCTTCTGCGTCTCCCACAGACGAGACTGAACAAAAATGTCAAATTACATATTTAAGTCTGAATTTTGTTGATGTTCATAAATAACAGGATGTCATACACATAAGCAACTATTTATTATGTAATTATATTTAAATATTAATGTAAAACAAATTTATATCAATAGTAACTCATGAAATTTAAGATTTAAAGGAATTGTTCTGAGAAAAACGTTTGTGTAAAGTGTCGTCAGTCGGGCCAAGACATACACAAACATATGGATGCTAGATCACTTTCTGTTGTTTTTATTTACAAACTGCAAATATATATTAATAAATAGAAACAAATCACAAACGTTATCTAGCGTCCATATGGCTGTGTGATATACGTCAACGTTTTGTTCATTTTTACAGCTCACAGTAAGTTGTACTGTGTCCTAAACCACATCTACAAGTCTGCGCCACCTTAACAAACACCTGGATGCGGCTTGAGAGAAGTTTTGTGGATGAACTTACAGAAAATATTTGGGTGACTATTGACTTCTAGTGTTTGTTAGGTACATTAGCCTCATGGCTCCAGTGCTAAACTAAAGGAGCAAGTTGAGGTATGTGGGAAAATGTGCAAATTAGATTTTTCTTCAAACCATTTCTTTTAAAGGAATACTTCACGCAAGAGCGCTTAAGTCACTATTCGCTACCAACAAATTAGCACAAGAAGATCAGTATTACTCCTCTAATATCTGTTTGTGATGATAAACGCACCTTTACAGGAAAGTTAGACAGTCCCTGTGTTTGTAATGAGAATGATTCTGGTGCCCTCTGCTGGATGATGTGCCATATTACAATGAAAAATGAACTGACGATTTACCAAGTGAGATTTCTCAGTTAGCCACATGACAGCCAAAGTTAAATCGCTCCAATAGGAGGAGAGTTACTGGCCCTACCTATTCTACAGTCTTGAGAGCATGGTAGCTCACTACCTGGAGCTCAATCCTAGCAAGACTGAGCTGCTATTCATCCCTGCAACTACAGGTCCTCATCATGATCTTGCCATCTAATTCGAGAACTCGAATCGTTCTCAGCTCATATTGCAAACCTAACTCGGTCCTGCAGGCTTCTCTTGTACAACATCCATAGGATTGACCCTTTCTCACTCAGGAGGCCACCTAGGTGCTAGTTCAGTCTCTTGTCATCTCAAGGCTTGACTACTGCAACTCGCTCTTGGCTGGTCTTCCTATGTAGGCCATCAAGCCTCTGCAACTCATCCAGAATGCAGCAGCACGGCTTGTCTTCAATCTTCCTAAGTTCCCTCATGTCACTCCACTGCTGCGCTCCCTTCACAGGCTTCCTGTAGCTGCACACATCTGATTTAAAACTCTGATGCCTACAAAGCCAAAAACGGACCAGCCCCTCCCAACCGGATGGCAATGCTCAAAACTCAAACTGTACCTCGAGCCCTTCGAGCTTCAAGTACAGCTCAACTTGACCCGCCATCCTTTAAGACACGTGGCAGACAAGTATCAACACTTTTCTCTGTCCTGGCAACCAAGTGGTGGAACTCCCACTAGCTGTCCAAACAGCAGACTCTCTCACGGTCTTCAAACGCAGACTGAAGACACAACTCTTTTTACGGCACTTAAGTAAGCACCAAGATACTTAAGTACTTATTGAAATGTATTGTATTGCACTGTCTAATTCTGTTTCTTTTCTCTAGGTATCAACCTTGGCTTTTGTTTCTAGCAATATCTGAGTTTAGGTCTAGCTTTCTCTCTAACCTATTTGTTACTAGCAAAAATACTTTCTCTGAGTAGACAACAAAGCCCTTTTTGTAAGTTACTCTGGATAAGAGCATCTGCTAAAGGCTGTAACTGTAAAATGTAAATGACTTAAATTAAAGCAGTACTTTGGTAAAAAAAAATCCAATTTACACAATTAGCCATTTTCATTTTTGATGTCTGAGGTTTGCTTCTTTCGTTTTAGCACTGGAGCTACAGTAGCTAACAAGTAATGGAAGCTTATCAATTAGCATGGTACTAACTATGTATTTTAATTCCTACATATAGCAATGAATAAAACAGCTTTATTGGGTTGTCACTGGTATCTGGACTCACTGGTATCTATACACATGGACTAAAGTACATTAGCATAGTTGAAAACGGTAGTAATGGTCACTGTGAAGCCTGAATATGGTCAATTTGTTCCTTTTTAGGGGGAAACTGAGTATGTGTGTGTGTGTTACCTGGTTTAGTATGAGTGTCTGCTGTAGGTTGAGCTGTTCCTCCTGACTCTCCGTCTCCCTCAGTGACTCCGCCCTCTGGTGGGCGTCACTCGTAGATGGTCCCACCTCCTCAGAGTCCATATCCTCAGAGGGAATCTGTCGGAGCCGTGGCTTCTCACTCGACTTCGACATGAGCTGCAGAACAAACACACACTCTCAACATTTTATTTGATAAAAATGCTAATAACAAAATCGTGATATCAAAATATAAGAATTCTTTGACATTGATATGAGTGGAGAAACTATGTGGAAATTTTAAAATTTTAATAGCACATAGAGCTAACATACGTATAAACTTTGATCCCTAATAACTTCAAACCCACCTCCTCGTTTCTACACTCACTGTTCATTTTATCAGCTCCACTGACCATATACGAGCGCTTTGTAGTTCTACAGTTACTGTAGTCCGTCTGTTTCTCTGCATGCTTTGTTACCCTGTTCTTCAATAGTCGGGACCCCCACAGAGCAGGCATTATTTGGGTGGTGGGTCATTCTCAGCACTGCAGTGACACTGACGTGGTGGTGTTGTGTTAGTGTGTGTTGTGCTGTTGTGAGTGGATCAGACACAGCAGTGCTGCTCTACCTCTGTTATTCCTAGTATGTTTGCCTGCTAATGGAGACCCCGTGGTGTGTGTGTGAGCTGACCTTGCCCAGGTGTGTCTGCTGTTTGAGCCTCTCCAGAAGCTGTGCGCTGTGCTGTTGCTGCAGCAGGTGTGTGTGCAGGGCTCGAGGGCTTTGGGGCAGCGGCTCTGAGCGCGTCCGGCTGAGGGGCTTATGGGGTCCAGCAGGAGCGCTGAACTGCAGGGGAACTGGACCCAAACCTGGAACTAAACATGCACACACATAAAACTATAGTTAAAATGTACATTTTCAGATATATGTATATATAGTTTTCTAGCTCCACCTGCCTTATAGGCTCACTTGTTGGCCTTTTTCTCAGAAGCACCTGTCATACAAGTTCTCTTTGTAGGTGTGCAGTTACTGTAGCTCTTCTGTTACTGTGTAATTAATCAGCCCCTTAACCCCACTCATCAGTGCTAAGGGACCACCACAGGACCACCACTGTCCAGATATTATCTTAATGGTGGTCCATTCTCAGCACAGCAGTGACACTGACATGGTAGAATGCATCTAGATGGTAATAAACTGGCAAGGTACAGCCACTAGGGAGCAGCTGCACTGGCCCATCAGTGTTATCAGTCAGTTTTCTGCAGCAGGTCTCACCAGCCAGCAGCGGTGCGTGGACGAGGCCTGATGGCTCCAGAATGAGAACGGGCTGCAGCAAGGGGGCACTCTGCTCCTCTACACCAAGAGGGAGCAAAACCTGAGAACCACCAGACACTAGGGGGACACGGCCCAGCTTCAGGGAGCCCACATCACCCTCCACCTGAAAACATAATCATCAAAATCAACATCATCATCATCAGAATCAGACTCATCTTAATTATTATCATCATAATCCCTCATTATCATAATGACTGTTACAGTGATCAACAATACCATCTTCTTCATTAGCATCGTTACTATTAGCACCACTATTGCCATTATCATTACCACCACCATCACCATTATCTTTACCGTCATTACCACCATCACCATTATCGTTACCATCACTACTCTTACAGTTATCATTACCATCTTCATCATTACCATCATTTCCATCAGCACCACCATTGCTACCACCATCACCATCATTACCAGCATTATCACCATCATCACCAATATCATTACCATCATTACCACCATCATCACCATTATCATTACCATCATTACCATCACAATCACCACTATCATTACCATCGTTACCACCATCATAACCATTATCATTACCATCATTACTCCTACAATTATCATTATAATCTTCAACATTACCATCATGACCATCAGCACCACCATTACCACCACCACCACCGTTATTACAATGATTACCACCACCATCACCATTATCATTACCATCATTACCACCATCACCATTTTCAGTACCATCATTACTCTAATAATTATCATTAACATCTTCATTACCACCATTGTTACTATCAGCACCACCACTGCCACCACCATCACCACTATCATTATCACCACAATCATTACTCTTACAATTATCATTACAATCTTCATTACCATTACCATCAGCACCATCATCATCAGCAGCAGCACCACAATCACCACCACTATCATGACTGTCACAATCATCTTCATCATTGGCATCAGCACCATCAGCAACACAAGCATCACCACCATCATAACAGTAACTCTCACAATAGTCTTCACCATTACTATCTTCAGCATTACCATCAAGACCTTCATTACCATCAGCATTGTTAGCACCACCATCATCATAAATCTTATATACCATAAGATCTTCATCACTACCACCTTCGTCATTACCATCATTCTAATCATCATCATCATAATCATCATCATCGTCATTGGTGATAAAGTGGAGAAAATGATGGAGCAAGGAAGAGAGATATTACACCACGAGTGATGGAGGATATACATGTGAAGAGAAGGATGACGGGGGGGGGGTGGAGAGGGGGATTGTGCGGGATGGAGTTTTTACCTTAGCATGAGCAGGAAGCCCCAGCGTGATAGTGGGGAGTGTGGAGGGAGCCGGGACGGAGAAATGAGCCAAAGAACCATCTGAGAGTAATAGCCTCTGAGCCTGTACACACAAATCCAGTCACGGTGGAGGGATACATGTGAAATGTCAGGAAGTAAAATAGTCCCCAGAGAAAACTTATCACTATTTTCCCAACATCAACATTCCATATAAAACTCAGAAGACATGTGTAGGTTCACTGGTGATTTTGGATAGTAACTAAAATGTCTAGATGTGTGTTGTAATAATGGCGACCCCTGGTTCCTATCACCACCACTGTAAAGAAACCTGAAACATTTCACACCAAACCACTCTGAATGACTCAATCACCACAAATTTTGGGAAATCAGTGGAATTCCCCTTTAACTGTTTGTGATAATGGTCTTTGTGACGTTGAAATTTATTATTATTTTGAACTGTGTGCTCTGAGCGTCCTGACCAATCGCAGCTTTAGATGAGATTCTGTGGCTGTTCTGATGAATTAAAGCATTCATGCAGTCCAACAGAAATCCAGTATTTTGCCGAAAGCGCTGCAGGCGGCTCTTTAACCACGTCACCTCACTGATAGAGATCAGAGCGCCTGTGCTGTCTCTGTGCTGTGTTTATGTAAGAGTGGGACGTGACGGGGTGAAAAGGTTTGCAGTGTTGGATTGTGTGTCAGCTGTCCTTCTCCAGTGTCTCTGTTTAAAACATTTCATTATGGGATGCCACAAGCTCACACACACACACACACACACGCTCTGAGATTGTGCTCTGGTTTCCCAACAACACACCCTCCAAGAACACACCGAGCAGAAGATGAAACAGCACTTTAATATTAAACAGTGCTTTAATATTCTGATGCCTGACATGTGTGAGTGTGCGTGTTGCGATGGAAGATGGCAAACAATTCCCTCAGAAAAAAGAAAATCTACTTTGAAGTGTCATATCAGCCTTATTAACTGAGATCAGTGAGCTCTGTATGAGTCAGTATTTCGCACCTCGTGTGTCAGACCGCCAGCAGGGGGCAGCACTCCGTTCTCATTAGGCAGACTGTCATTAGGGGAACTGCAGCCAGACACTGGAGTACTACTGCTACTGGGGGATGAATCTGAGAGAGTGAGAGAAAGAGTGAAAAAGAGAGATTTTTTATTATTCTTTAATAATCATAACTTTCAGGACTTTTTGTTACTTTTGTACGAACTGAACTGAAAAGAGAGAGAGAGAGAGAAAGAGAGAGAAAGAGAAAGAGAGGGGTGTAAAGAAAAAAAAAAGAGAGATAAAGAGAGAGTTAAAGTGTAGAGAGAGTTATCGAGAGAGAATAACAGAGAGAGAGAGCAACAGAGAGAGAGATGTAGAGAGAGATAGCGCAACAGAGAGAGAGAGATGTAGAGAGAGAGAGAAAGAGAGAGAGAGAGTGACAGACATAGAGAGAGAGCGTATGTGTACCCAGTGTGTCGGGTCCGCGGTGTTTAATGGTGGGGGGGGCGCTCTCCTTGCGGGTCAGTGGGCTTTTCCTGGTGTGCAGGTGCTTCTTTAATTTATGCTTCACCTTCAGGTTTGGTTCAGAGGCTGCAGACACACACAGACACACACACACACACACACTGTTAACACCAACTCACAGGTCAGTTCATCTCTTTTTTAGCACAAAACAAAAATCCATTGCCCACTTTATCAGAAACCCTAGATAGTGGAGCTATAAGGTGGGTGTTTCTAATAAAGTGGCCAGCGAATGAAAGCACAAAGTTGGTGTTTCTAACAAAGTGGCCAGTTAATAGTGGGTATTTCCATTAAAGTGGCCAGGGAGTGTAATGAAACATCAGTCATGAGACAATGCACATGCCTGTCTGCTTACATAAAAACCGCACTGAAGAATAAAGTAATAAGAATGCCTGACTCATCTGAGGTGCGACGCATGAACGAGACTGCAGTGTAAGCTTCTTTTTTATTTTTAAATAGCCATCCTGCATGGTCACATTTTGTAACCACAACAAACAAAGGGACAGCCTTTCATCACCTGAGCTTTCTCAACACACCTGCCAGGTAACAGCTGTTGTGTAATGAAGGACACAGACACACAGCAGAAGTTCGCATGCTTCCACTTCCTCGCATACACACACGCACACACACACCAGCATACTCCTGCGTCTATTCTCCAGAAACAGTCTGTGTGTAAATGTGTAAACATGCGTCATATTTCCTGCTAAACGCTCCTCCTCACTGCTGCTGTAATTAGAGGGAAACAGTGTAAGATCACAGAGAGAGAAGAATTAAAATAGCAGTTCCTATTTCACTACATTATTAGTGTCCAGTTAGCACACAGTAAACAAGCTAAACGCGTTTTGCAGCACAGATTTCCGGGTTGGAGATTGAAAGCGCAGCACAGTCAGCTGTGAGATGATAAATCTGAAAGAACACGTTGACAAAAGGAAAGCTCGTATCGCTTTGCCAAAGACAATCTGTGAGCTTCAGTCACGTCCCAGCTGACAAAGCCTTCAGCTAAGACTGAAAGAAGCAAAATCAAACACACATTAAAGGCCTTTACATGAGTAATAAGCGCAGGTAATGATAATAATAATGATAATAATAATACATTTTAATTATATAGCACACTTTTCATGACATCAACTCAAGGTGCTTTACAGAAAAATAAAAACAAAATTCATAAAAACACAAGAAGAGTCTTAAGATTCTACACACTTAAAAAATGATTTTTTAGCCCCAGTGTAGTCGATCAGCCAAGATGTCTTTGGTGTGTGAAGTTTGCTTCTTTAGTGTTAGCACTGAAGCTACAAGCTTGTAGCTAACAAGTATGGGAAGCTTAAACCTCACCAATTAGCATGATGCTAATATGAACAAACTGCTTGTTTTTATACCCACAAGCTGCTAAAAAAGTCAGAAGAGCGTCTCCAAGCCTTTACACTCAATAACAATGCAAATATCTATGAATATGCATAATTATGCAAATTAAAACTCATACACTCTTAAAAAAGATGGTTTTCCAAGGGTTCTTTAGTGAAGACAATGTTTCTATATAGAACCATGAACACTCAAAGAACCCTTTGCATGATTAAGGGTTCACTGCATCATGAAGTGGTTGTTCAGGTTGATGCAGAATGTGCTATAGATGGTTCTATATAGAACCTTTGTGAAAATAGTTCTATAGAGCACCAAATAGAATTCTACTTTTGTGATGATGTGAAGCTTATAACCATAGAAGAACCCTTTATAGCACTTTTGGGTGCTATAAACAATATACAACACATTCTCCATCATTCTGAAGAATCATTTGACCAAGCAGAGAACCATTAAAGTATGCAAATGGTTCTTTGAGTGTTCAAAGAACTCTTGAAGAACAATCTTTTTAAGAGTGTATATCCTCTACATTTAGTGCCATCATAGACAAATAGAAAGGTCTCTAAAGTCTAAAAAACCTAAACCACATTACTAACTCTTGTTCTGTGGGTTAAAGGAAATATATCTCAGGGAATTGAGAAGCTCAGGCATTCCGAGTGGGAATTATGGCCCGGAGGGGAGGGAGATTAGTGGATTTTCCCCCCACACGGAAGTTGGAAACTTCCCATTTCAGGCTTGGTCACGAATGCAGCATAACAGAGCTCAGAGGTTTCAGGTTTGAAAAGAGTGAAAATGCTCTTGTTTCTAAGTCCTGCCCCCTCCCTGCCGACTTTACTCTGATAGGCTGCACCTAGACGACTGACAGGGGTTTCTGTAAAGACAAATGTTTCAGTAGTGACTGTTTCGGTAGTGACAACTTCAGCTCATTTTGATCTCAAAAACACAGCCAGCACAGAACTAACAGCTTTGAACAGCTGTTTTTCATTACAATTCTAAAAAGTTTAAAATCTGTTTCGGTAACGACAATTCTTAATGTTCCACACTGATTTTCAGACTTTGGGACACATTTACTTCAAAACAATGGGATCTAAATGCTCACCATGAGACCATGAGGGACAGGGATGCAGCCTCACTTCCTGCTCTAAAATGCAGGGGCGTGGCTCCGCCTATAGACTAAAACTGTGTTTCGGTAATAAAATGAGGTTTTTTTTGTATAAAAGTAAAAATTAAACTCATAATATATATCAGTACAGCCTCTGTATTTATGTGTGTGTGTGTGTGTGTGTGTGTGTGCGCGTGTGCACGTGTGTGTGCATGTGTGAGAGAGACGTACTTGCTCTCCTCAGAGGGGGCTCATCAGGTCCTTCACTGAGGGTTTGTGGGGGGGAGGAGAGGAGGGGCTGCAGAGAAACGTTGGGGTCCGGAGCTAACTCTCTACGCACAGAAGAAAAACAGACAAAAATCAGCACCAAATAATAGTAATAATAATCCAGCTCATATTTAAAGCCAGTGCACACTCCTGAGTAAAGAAATGGACAAAGCTTAAAATTCAACAATTTGTACTGATAGTTTTGGCTGAGTCCAGATTAAACCCTACAGAGAATATTTGGTCTCACGTTAAACACAAACTAGCTCAGTAATATTTTTCAGCTGTTTGAAGCTGTCACTGCTGAGCCCTGCTGGTGACGTCCCATATAAATAACAATAATGTGTGGCCACAACTTAGCAAGGTGTGGAAATGAGATCATGCCTTATTAAGCTGTGGTCAAGGCTTAAACATCTCAGCTTTAGCTCTGGAGCTATGAAGCGAATATGGCTAACAAGCAATGGAAGGCTTGGAGTGATGTTGCTCCATAGACAACAAAGAAAAGAGGTGCACCTGAAAGAGCCTGAAAAGACGTTGTCTGAAAGCTCCTTAATCAGCAGGTGATGCCTCTATCTGCACTGAATGATCATTCTAATGTGTTAGCTAAGAGCTAATATGTGTTAGCTTTTTGTTTCAGGCCTCTATCTGTGGTCAGTAGGCCGAGACAGTGGAACATTAGGATCATTGCTGTTTCTGACCACACCTGTAAGCCACCGGCGGGGTGCTGAGGGGGTTCGAGCTGGTTCTCTCCAGCGCCGCCTGCTTCTTCTTCAGAATCACCTCTGCTAACTTCTGCTTCACCACCGAACTGGCCACCGCACCTGTCAATCCACACAAACAGCTAATGAGAGGATGTACATTTTGTTTATTTATGTATTTATACATCAGAGACAACAGGTTCATTAAATCTGTTTTGGTAGTGACAATTTTTAATGCTCCACAAATGATTTTCTGACTGGGACACATTCGCTTAAAAAAATGGGATATAACTTGTTGCCCATGAAGGACAGGGATGCAGCCTCACTTTCTCCTATATAATACAGGGGTTAAATTAAGGCTCCATCCACCAACTAAAACTCTTTGTTTCGGTAGTCACAGACATTTTTTGATTTGTAATAAAACTAAACCAAAACCTCACTTTGCAAAAGTATCACTTAAAAAAACCTTGCAAATAAATTAAGAAAAGAAGTGTAAATTTAGGGGTTAGGGTTTGGAACAGACACCTCCCAACAGAAAGAACCCTATAAATAATGACTGTGTATATATTTAGCTTATTACCATCTCTATTAATGTTTTCAGTTTAAACAGATCAGAACATAATCACTGCTAGCGCATAATGCTGAATAAAAATATGTGTTCACAGGTTTTTTTTCACAGCACTATTTGTTCCTTTTTTCTCTGTTCCAACTGATCAGATGTCTGAAAAAATAAATTTCATGACAATGAAAATTTCTTTAAGTATCGCAATATTATATTTTTGCCGTAAAATACTTTCTACCTTCTTGAATCTACACTGTATACTTTATTATTGAATAAAATAACAGCAATTATCAAAATAACAAGTGATTCCAAACTTTTGACTCCACTCTGCAGGCGGTGAAATGGCCCTCTGACAAAAGCTCAGCTATTTTTTCCTGTGAAGATGCGTTTCAGCTCCACTGTGTGTCTGTGGGAAATGTGTGATGAAAGGAAACGGTGTGTCACTCTGGGCTTCCCCGGCTCCTGCGGCCTCTGCGCTGTGGAGACCGTGAGTGTGTGTGTGTGTGTGTGTGTGTGTGTGTGTGTGTGTGGAGGCAGGTGCCACAGGCGCTGATTGCTCGAGTCAATATTGACTCTGGACCTGTTTTGTACTGTACCTGCTATTTTTATCCTCACTGTACTGCACACTGAACAGGGTCAATACCGAAAAGAGGTTCTTTGTGAACTAATATCTCCTGCTGTAGTGCATAGGAGCATTACTTGAGGTCATTTATGAACTAATATCTCCTATTCTTGTGTGTAGAAGTGTTTATTGAGGCCATTTAAGGACTAATATCTCCTATTCTAGTGTATAGGAGCATTTTTATGAGGTTGTTTATGGACTAATAACTCCTGTTCAAGTGTATAAGAGCATTAATTGGGGTTGTTTATGGACTAATATCTCCTATTCTAGCATATAGGAGGGCGTATTGATGCCATTTAAGGACTAATATCTCCTATTCTAATGTATAGAAGTGTTTAGTGAAGTCATTTATAGACTATATTTCCTACTGTAGCATGTAGGAGTGTTTATTGAGGTTGTTTATGAACTAATATTTCCTATTCTAGTGTATAGGAACATTTATTGAGATCATTTATGAACTAATATCTCCTGTTCTAGTGTACAGGAGCATGAATTGTAGTCACTTAACTAATCTCACGTATTCTAGCATGTAGGAGTATTTATTGAGGCTGTTTATGGACTAATATCTGCTGTTCTAGTGAAATAGGACATTTATTGAGGTTGTTTGTGGACGAATAACTCCTATTCTAGTGCAAGGGAACATTTATTGAGGTCGTTTATGAAGTACTATCTCATGTTCTAGTGTAAGTGAACATTTATTGAGGTTGTCTATAGACTAATGTCTCCTGTTCTAGCGTATAGGACTATCACTTTAAGGTTGCCAGACGGCCATTCAGTTCAGTTTGAGTAAACCTTCAATTTGAGTCGTTCTCCTGATGGTACTCAGAGAAACACTGTTAAACTACGAGTTAAAAACAACAGCAGCAGTGTGTGTGTGTGTGTGTGTGTGTGACACTCCTCACAATGGCCCTTTCTATTGCAAACACACTGCACTGTTTCAGCTCCTCACAGGGCAAAAGTGCACACTCTGGGCCAATTTAGGGCTATTATTGGTCACACCTGACTGCATGTATACATGTTGTGTATGTGTGTTCAGTCGTATGCAAATGTTTAGGCACCCCGGTCAATGTTTTGTTGAATTTCTAATTAAAAATAAGTTACAGAGAACCCACTTCTGTAGATTTTAATGGACAATTGCTGTTTATTTGCTGAACTTACATTAATGGTTTATAGCGCCGCCTGCTGTTTCAACAATGGGACTTGGTAAGAAACAGCGACTCTTACAGGGAAAAAAAAAACTATATAACTGATGTTTAAAGGGCTAAAACAAAAGTGCTTAGACTCACTCTGCTGGCTCTTGTCCTTGTGTCGTATCTGCTGCAGCTGCTGCTTCTCCTCTTCTTGGTCGCGTAGATGCTGCTCCATGTTAAACTGAATAACAATAAAAAGTCACTATTAAATGTCGTCATCTGACACTTAGACTAACGTTACATATTTAAAGTGAAAAATCTAATGTACCCCAAAAACGTTGATGATTAGTGAAGGAAGCTTGGCGCTGGAAGGCTAATGAAGCTAACAAGGCTGCAACAATTGAATATTTTCAAGTGTTTGAATATTATGTTGAATATTATCTAGAACAGTTGATTATTTTATGAAATTAAAAAAACTCAAGCTGTGCTTCACTTTAAATTAATGTAAAAATTATGTTCTTACTTTTGTTCATTGTGTTATTGTTGCTTTTATTACTATTATCATGCACTTTTGCATAAACTTCCATTTATTTATGTTTTAACGTTTTTAACCAAATCTAATACTACAAACATCACTGATAAATGCACTGCTTCATTAGAAAGCCACTATTCCCCTTAATAAACTTGTTTCCCGTGGAAGCGTCTGGGTTATTTAAATGGCTTTGCTGTTTTTTAATATTTTAATTAGTGAATTTATTGAATAGTACCGAATATTTGCTGCAGCGCTACTAACAAGTAATGAAAACCAATTAGCATGGTGCTAAGCCCTTGCCTAAAGCACTCATCTCAGTATGTGGAGATGTTCTGTAATCTCTAATAACTTGTTTATGTGGTTTCTGACACTATATGACTCACTGTTATTTATAAACATGGTTTTCAAACTGGGGGGTTGCTACCCACTGGTGGGTCACAGGGCAGGAACAAGTGGGTCGCATGGAAGCTGCATCATTGCATATGTATTTTTTCCTCAAAATCAGAGCTTGTAACCATGCTGTTTATGAGCCGCACCGCTGCCACCCTCAAAGTGCTCCAGTGTTATCTTTAACCAGCCTCACACAGCATACACGTTAGAGTTGAATACAACAGATGGGTGGTAGCCGCAATCGACATTATATGGCCAAAAGTATGTAGACACCTCACATCTGTACGAGCTTGTTGGACATCTCATTCCAAGACTATAAGCATTAATATGGAGTTGTCCCCTTTGCGGCTATAACAGCCTTCACTCTTCTGGGAAGCCTTCTACAAGATTTTGGAGTGTATCTCTGGGAATTTCTGCCTATTCAGTTAATAGAGCAATTGTGGTCAGACACTGATGTTAGACGAGAGGGCCTGGCTCACAATCTCCGTTCTAGTTCATCCTAAATGTGCCCAGTGGGGTTGAGGTCAGGGCTCTATGCAGGCCACTGGAGTTCCTCCACACCGAACTTCACTCCATGTCTTTATGGAGCTCGCTTTGTGCACGGGCTCAGTCATGCTGGAACAGAAAAGGGTTTCCACAAACTGCTGCCATATAATTGTGTAAAATGTCTTTGCATGCTGTAGCATTAACACCACCCTTCACTGGAACTAAGGGGCCCAAACTCTGAAAAACACCCATAGCCCATTATCCTCCCTCCACCTAACTTTACTGTTAGCACTATGCAAACTGACTTGTGGCAGAGGTGGCATCCTACGACAGTGCCACTGAGCTCTTCAGTACAGCCCAGCATTTGTCTATGGAGATTGTATGGCTACAGCTGAAACACCTGAACTCAATAATTAGGAGGGGTGTACACATACCTTCGGCTGTAGGCCTAATGCAGTACAGTGTCAGTGTTTACTGTTCTGAGATCAGTTTGTGTATGTTTACCCGTATGTGCTGGCTGTACTGTGCGCAGTGCTGCGGAGTGAATGGGCTGAGCAATAGGGGGCGCTGCAGCGGTGAGAGCAGAGCCGTGTCTGATCCTGCAGGACGCATCAGACGTTCTCCCACGCGCAGATCCATCAGCGATGTACAAACACACAAGCTCACTATACACACTTCTGCAGAAGGAGAGAGAGAGAGAGAGAGATAGAGAGAAAGAGATTAGAGAAGGTCAAGTCCAACTACTTACATATAAGTAATATATGTTTTTGTTATTGTGCCTTTAATACTGATGTATGTAAATGAGCTCTGTCCTGATTGGCTGTTCTGCACTGTGCCTTGTTCAAAAAGCAGTCCGGGCTGAAATGTGGACTAAATTCAGACTGAAATCTTCCTGGACCTCAGAGACAAGCCACTGAGCTGCTGGTTGTATATTAATTGTTCACATCACAACCGTGATGAGTTCAAAATGAGCTATTTTTTGCTGTTTAGTTTCCAAATATGAACAATTTTTCAAAATTTCTGCATATTTCAATAGTTGAGATGTAAGCAAGGTCATTCAGAGTGTTTTTTTATTAGATTGTTAATTGTAGAGAAACTCACCAGCTCACCAAAATTTCTTTACAGTGGTGGTGACAGAAACCAGGCGTCCTGATGTCTACAATGCAAATATAGCCATTTTATTTACTATCCAAAACCACCAGTGAACCTACACATATCTTCTGAGTTTTATATGAAATGTTGATGGTGGCAAAATAATGGTCAATCTGAAAAAATAAGCTTTCTTTGGGGACTATTTTGCCTTCATTTATCCCTCCACCATGAATAGATTAAATAACATTGATTATAATACGTTTTAGGCCAAAACTATCAAAAAACTACCCTAAAACAATGTCTCAGACATCAGGCAGTGTATTTATAACCATTTCATGTAGTACCTTTCTGTGAGGGAGCTTTCAGAGGTGGACATCTGGTTCCTATCACCACCACTGTGAACAATTCTGCCTTGGTAAGTTTCTGTAGAATGGAGCATTTCACACCAAACCACTCTGAATGACTCTGGGCAGTTTAAGAGTAATAAATAAATAAACAAATGAAAATCTGCAGTTTTACCTAATAGTAAAATGTGCCTTTATGTTCCAAAACTAGAAAAAAAAAATTAAATACGCTACAATAATACAGTCTACATACAGAAAATCTTTATTGCACAGCATAAAGCAAATTACAGACAATGTAAAGGTACGAGTGCAGTCTACTAAAAAGTGGAAAAGAACAAAGCAAGTGAATGTGACCAAATGAAGGATGAAATTGTTGTGCGGCACACTTCTCTGTGATAGGAGCTGGTTTCCATGACATTTGCATGCTGCGTTTAACTAATTTGCATTGTACCTGTGACTCAATGTGAAAGACTTTACGAGCAGGCACACTCTGAGCTAAGGACATTTACATTTGCCCTGTCAGATTACTAAAATAATTCATCATGATTAACTATAATTGTCTTATTTGCTCAAATTTGCCCCTCCAGAAAGATTAATTTGTTCTTTTTTGAAAGCATTGTGCTGTGTTATAGCAAAATGAGGGGACTAAATCGGCTTCATCATAATGTATTTATTACTTTTAATAATTCTAATAATTGTAACAATGCAGAACCTGAACATGAAGATCATATATACAGTTAACGAGCCTATACATTGTATATACAATCGAGTGTATACATCATATATACAATCAATTTGTGCATATACCATATTTCACATAAAGTCAAAGAATGTATATATCATATATATCATATATACTCAATGAGCATATGTATCATATATATATATATATATATATATATATATATATATATATATATATATATATATATAATGACAGTAGCTGGAAATAGCTCTTTCAAAAGAGCTATAAATGGAATGGGCTATTTAAATGTTGTATTTGAATGAGAGGAATACTGTTGTACATCATATCACCATTTTATTATTTCTTCATAACAACAACAATAATAAAATTACTAACAATAATAAAATAATACTAATATAAATAATACAAAAAAAATAAATAGCTTAAATTATTATTGTCATTATTACTATTATTAATGTTAGTAGTAGTAGTAGCAGTAGTAGTAGTTGTTGTAGTTGCAGTATTGAGCTCAAACTTGAATTGTTTACAAAGATAACACTGCCACAACACTTCCACAACACTGTCAAAATGCTGCAACAACACTGTAACAGCACTGGAAAAGTGCCACAATACTGCTACAACACTGCTACACACCACAACATTGCTATAACAGCACCACAACACTGCTACAACATCACCACAACACTACTACATTGCCACCACAACACTGCTACATCACCACAACACTGATATAACGGCATCACAACACTGCACAACCCCACCATAACACTGCTAAAACGCCACCAGAACACTGCTACAATGCCACAACACTGCAACAATGCCACCACAACACTGCTACAACATTGCCACAGCACTGCAAGAACACCGTAACAGCATTGCAAGAACGGCCAGAACACTGCAACAACTCCAAACACAACACTGCCACTGGGCTGCATCAATGCTGCCACAACACTGCCAAATAACAACACTGCAACAACTCAGCAATGACACTGCAAAATCACTGCAACAATAACACTGCAACAGTTCATCAGAACACTATAATATAACTATATTACTATAATATAACACTATAATAATCAGAATATAACACACACACATACTATCACACACACAATCATACATGCACAGAGACACAATCACACACACACACACACACACAAACTGTTTTTTTAAGAGAATAAAAATGTACACTGATGTGTGCAGTGCTTTATTAGAAAGACAAACACATTTACAAAAGAAAAAAACAGAAACTCACTACTGCGAGCACACACACATACACACACACACATTCCTACATGCATTCCACAGAACATCTGCTCCTCAGACCTTATTACTGAGTGTGTGTGTGCATATGTTGGCCAGCTTCATATTTCACACAGCAAACTAGATCACTGTCTCAGAACACAAACACACACAGACAAACACAGACACACACACACACACACACACACACACACGCACACACACACACAAAACTCTGACTCTACACACTCTGACTAAAGTCCATTCATGGTGGAGAGATATATAATATACAGGACATTGTGAGATAAAATAGTCCCCAAAGGAAACTTATTATTTCAGATTTTCCACTATTTTCCCATCATCAACATTCCATATAAAACTCAGAAGACACGTGTAGGTTCACTGGTGGATTTGGATGGTAAATAAAATGTCTGTATTTGTGTTGTCGTCATGGCGACCTCTGGTTCCTATCACCACCACTGTAAAGAACTCTGCATTTACTCACATATTACTGTTTGTTTAAACAAATCAACACTTACTGTGTGTTTGTTTGAAGTAATTTTATAATCAAATGATTTTCTACAATTCAATTAATCTCTCCACCCATTACTCACACACACACACACACACACTCAGAGCAGACGGTAAATGGTGAATCAGTCACACACTCTGCAGTGTGTTCAGCGCTGAGTGAACACATTTATCTAACTCAGACTGACAGAAAAACCCACACACACTCCCACTTCCCAAAAGCGTGACGCCCAACCAGCTGGACCAGAGGAACCAGTTTAAAGAGGATGACTCGAACACACTTACACACACTATCACAGTCAGCCTCACACTGTTAGCCAACATGCTAATGTTAGCTTGATTACATGACAAACTAAAACTCTCTCATATGTACCACGTAAATGTTTTTAACAACTCAGGGAACTTAAGGTTTTCGTTCTAATTAGGTTAATCATGTAAACAGTAAACATGTACTAAGTTTATCCTTTAAATAACGCTTCATTGGCCAATAAATGACCGATATATTTCACCATATTTCTCTCCTCTTGATGTAAACTGGGCGGCCCTAATCTTGGGTAAAGTCTCTAAGTATTCCAATCCCCGTTCACACAGAGCAGTTTCGGAGTCAGAGAAAGTTAGCGAGCTAAAGATAACCCAGCATAACCAAAAGCTAGCGAGCTAGCCCACTTGTCTGTAGCCGCCATTCACTCTTTTATCCAACACCAACATTCACTGCTTCATCCATCCATTCATTTGTCTGCACCTCTGTCTGTCTGTGACTTTTTCCGTCCAGTTAGCGTTACATAAAAGCTAGATAATGATGTTAGTTTTCTATGAGGGGCAGAGCAGGCTAGGAGTGTTGGACAGAGACCTGTCAATCAAGCTGCTCATTAGCCACGCCCACACAGTTCTCAAATAGGTCTGATCAGCGTTTTTCAAGCCGCATTTTATCATATTTATATCTTATATCTTTCATTAAAGCTTCGCTGGATGTTTAACATAACGCTCAGGTTTAGTATCATAAAAACACTTCAAATACTTTACTAAATAACTGACTCCAAATGTAGGTATTGTAATATAAACTGAGTCTGTTCTACAGTTTTTTAGGTTGAATGAATAACTGGCTCTAAATGTAGGTATTGTGATATAAACTGATTGTGCAGATTCACTCTGTCAGTGTTGTTAGTAACACTGAAAAACATACCTAACAGACATAGAGCATGTAGGAGAAACAAAAAAGAGAAAAACCATGGAAAAACGAATGAAGAAAAAAATAAAGAAAAGAAAAGAAAATAATAAATAGAAGAAGGAAGGAAAGGAAGGAAACAGAATAAAAGAGTGAATAAAAAATTGGAGAAAACAAAAACAGAAGAAAAGATTTAAAAAATTAAAGAGAAGACAAAAATAAAAAAGAAATAATAATTGAAGAAAAGCAAAGAAAACAAATAAAAGAGAAAAAAAAGAAAAATGTTACATAAAAAATAAACGGTGTGGCGCAACCGTCTAAGCGTTGGCCCTATCATCAGGAGGTTGCGAGTTCGATCCCTGGAGATGCTACAGCCATCCGTAGCCGGGAGTCCAAGAGAGCACATTTGGCCTCGCTCTCTCTAGTCAGCGCAGGCGTCTGTTAGCTGACGTAACAGATCTGGCGGTTGGCGCTTTCCTCTGAGCGCGTTTGGCTGTCCAATGATGTTGAGTGAACGGCAGTTCGAAAAGATGCGGTAGCTGGCTTCACAGGTCTCAGAGGAAGCCTGTGTTAGCCTTCACTCTCCTAGCATTGGTA